TTTGTTTTGAAAGCTCTTTGAAAATTACTTTGTAGTCAGTTTTTCTTACATGCATGATAGCTGTTGTGTTATGAGAAAAAAAAAACTGTATCCCCAATACTGCATGTTACATAGCACCTTGAGTGTCAACTTCCACCAGCAAAGGAAGCTGAATCAGTTTAAAGAGGACAAATGTGTATGCAAAGCAATAGATACTGTATGTACATACTGTAAATATAAACACGTGTGTCTTCATAAAGATTACAAAGAAGGGTTCTTTAACTATAGAAATCTTTATACTGCTATTATTAAAAAAAAAAAAAAATAAATATTTCAATATAAAATTTTGTTTTCAATACAGGTTACGCGGCAGTCATTGACTGACTGCTCTCCACTCTACATCAATTTTCTTCCGCTAAATTACTTGATCATGATGCTGTCTGACGTGGAAGATAGAGGTAATGCTTTACATCACAGAAGCAATATGAAAATTTAGCAGCGTTTTTGGAAGTTTTAGAAATTTGATCCAGTTTAATATACTTTTAAATTTGTGCAGCTACGTATTGACATAATCAAGCAAATGAACAGATTTTTATAATAAGCATCATTAAAATGGTTGTAAAGGGAGAAGTCCTGGAAGTCGCATATCTCTGCAAAGCCCCATAAGAAGGTCTATGACAGCCCAAGTCTGGGCTCCAACCAGACCAATCCTTCAACGTGTGTCACTCCGCCTGACTAAACTCCGTAAGTGGCGTGAAATGCATTGGGGGGGGCGTGGCCTGGGTGGAAGACTACCAGGACTTCTCCCTTTTCCATTAGCCATTGAATCTGTGTTTCATCACAAATGTGGGAGAGTAATAATAAACCTCTGCCACCTGCATCAATGATCTCTGTGTGTCTGTGAATGCTCTGCCTGTTTGAGGCTGTCAGATCTAATTACTGATGACTAGCTCTCACCTGCACCAGCACAAGACCGAGAGAATTGAGGGATATGTAGTTTCTTAACAAGAAGATTCAGTTCTCACACAACAGACAGAGGTCACACATTAACCTATGCAGTTCCATGCTGCATTCCTCATGTTTTAACAAACTGCTGACACAGGAGTGTGAAAATTTACTCTAATATAGACTGCGTACAGGGCAAAAAATGATACCATGAAACTACATGATCAATTCCCATCTTATGCAGTTGTAAAACACAAGGTGCAGGTAGGAAGGTGGATAATGCCTTTAAATACTAAGGCTGGCCATACACTATACAATTTTCTTACAAATTTCTGCCCAATTTCCTTTAGATTTACCTTCAACTGTGTAGTGCAAGGGCCTGCCTAATTGGATACAACTGAAAGTGTTGTTTGGGTTTGACCTCATATTATATGGTTTTTGGTAAATCGAAAGCACAAATCTCAAGAAAATTGTATAATGTATGGCCAGCCTTAATCGTGTCTCTCAGTCATATACTGTATCTCTAGATCTATAAAGCTGAACCTGCGTTACTTGATTGTAGTATTCTAATGTATGGTCCACTTTGAGATGTTCTCTTGTGTGTGCATATAATCTGTTTAACATTCTTAGAAAATATTTGTTTTCTCTTTGGTATTCCAGCTTTGAACCCCTTTGAAGAAGACAACATAGATGCTGCATTTCTTGAAGAAATTGCTTTAAAACGAACATCCGCTCTTCTTGGTCTTCATTAGTACTAGAAATCACTCATTCTACCGACCCTTTCCCTCTGCTGCATTCATAAGGGAACACAAACCTATTTCCTGTGACTTACCGTGAAAGCATGTGGTTTAATACATGAATGTGGCACAGATACCTGAATGTGGATGATGGCTACAGTGCTATTGTGGTCAGGCATCTTTTGACATCTGAAATGTCTATTGATTTCTCAGTTTTATGCTGGAAAACACTGGTTTTGTTCAGTGAGGCAGTTACATGAAATGCCGTTTTCCTTATAGGAAATTTTCAATGAAATGTGAAAAAGCTGTAAAATGTTTACATACTGAAATGTAAGCTTCATTACAACAGATTGTGTGCACAACTCATAATTTTAATCATCATTTTTTCTGTTAACCATTATAAATTATTCTATAATGTTTCATGTAGAAGAATAATCATTTTTTAAATACATTTCTATTTAGTTGAGATTTGAAGTGACCACATAATGTGAGTTGTTGAACTAAATATGGCCTTGATCTTACGCGTGTCCTGATTACCTGAGGGCTATAACCTTCACTTAAGCATTCTCTGGACTGATTTAATTCTTCAGATATTCAAAAATATTTACAGCACAATGTGTATGATACTTTTAAGACTGACAACACTTCCAAGGGAAGCTTAATTTTGTGTGTGTATATACATATTTTTGTACTTGACTGTTCCTGAGATTGGATCTTTTGTAAAGATAGAGCAGGATAAGTTCAGGGAAGTCTACCCTCACATCCCCGCTAAAGCGACGTCAGTCAGGAAATTCCACCTTTTTATTTTCACAAATATGAAAGCAAGCCTTCATTATCCCATGTTCATAAGAACAGTGTGTGAAATTAATTCACACCTGATTTTCTGGTTGATGGAGAGTTCAATCAATGGTAATTTCAAACTATCCATTATTTTTATAGTGTAAGTAATTTATAGACAAAAAGATCAGTTTAAATTACTATCTTGTGAAAGCATTATGTGTTTCTTTACAAGGTAAGGTCATTTTTTCCTTTGTAAATTAACATCTCTCACTGTATGGCCACATAAAAGACCTCTGACAGCAAGTTGTGAAAATGAAATCTTATTTCAGTTTCCCACTATACCCCTAACAAGGTATACTCACTCCACACTCTTTCTGCTGAGTCCACCCTGAATAAGTTCTGATATCCAAGTTCACCCAAATGGATAACATCACTGCTTTCCTCAACATGACAGTCAGGCTTTGTGATTGTCTGCCCAGACCTGATCACTATCACATGGGGAGGTCAAATTTTGTCTTGTACTGAGAATCCCCAGTCCATTAGAGCAATGGAGAGATGTCTCAGACAGAGTAAGAAGTCTGCATAGGAGCATGGATGGGTGAGCATACCTTGCTGGGGGGGAAGGGGAGAGATAAGGTCTTGTGTTCCTTTGGAATTTTAAAACCTTTTAATTGAACTTCTTTGCCCTCCAAATATTTGTTTGATGTGAGACAGCAGTCTCCATCAAGTTTGGATTTACACCTTTCTGTGCTTTTTTTTTTTTTTTTTTTTTTTTTTTTTTTGTTCATGCATTTTACGTGTTTAATGGGCTTTAATGTGATGCTTATGTTGTCTTATAAAGTACATTAATACCTTAAGAAATGGCTATTGCACAGATGTAACCTAGCACCATTTAAAACATTAACTAACGTGTACATACGTTGATATTCTGTGTAATATTGGGCTGTTAAACCTATACTGAGCTTACCTAGTTCAGTGTGGGGAATTGATAGCATTTTCAATTTTAAAAAAAAAAAGTTAAATTATATTGACCTCACTTGTAAGGGACCTCCCGGCGGTACCACTAGCACTCCACTGATCGGACGTTCCCAGCGTACGGAGTCTAAGCCCCAAGGTACTTGTTCACCAGGGCCCCTGATGGTGGGGATGGACTTGGAGTACCCTGGGACCAGGTCGTGACTCCTGAGGACACCCGTCAGTGGTAGGGGTATTCGCCAGGGGCTCCCACGGGAGAGAGCCAGGTATGAGGAGGTCTGGAGACCCCGTTGAGAGGAATGGATGGATGGCTGAGCAAGTGCAAGGTCATACAAGCCGGGTCGGTAACTATGGGGACGGTGCGGTACAGAGCAGCGGGCAAAGAATAGTCGGGTCACACGCCAGGTCAGCAACAGCAGGTCAGATCCAATAGGGGGCATTCAGGAGAGAGGTCAGACAAGCAAGGGTCAAGAACAGGAGAAACAGCAAGGTCAGGGCACAATCCGGGTCAGCAACTTACTTTCACAGGTTTCACAGGTACACAGGATTCAAAGAGACCAGAAGGCACTGAATGACAGCTCAGGGCTGTTTAAATATCCTGCCCTGCGCTGTCATTGGTGCCAGGCGCGCACCCGTGGTCTCTACTGCGCATGCGCGAACCTGGTTGCCACGGTCGGCCAGGTCCCGGCGCCCGCGTCCCTGCACAGGGCGGTGTACTGCGCCTGCGCCGAGCCCAGCGGCGCAGCGATCCCCGACATTACTGTTAGTGGCACGTGCAGACAAGTCTGAGAAATGGTGGCATAGATCATAAAATATGTTAAGAAAATGATGTACAAATTTACGTTGGCATTAAATATATGTTTTAGTGTTATGAGAATGTGGTAGGACTAAAAGAAAAAAGGGTGTTAGTGTGAATTTGGGTTTTTTGATCAGCAAAACCCAAGTTCACACTAATAGTGGGAAAGATGCGTAAAAGTGTTTAAAAGAAAACATATTCTTGTTACCAATAGCAACCAATTTTACTTCCTTAACCTGCACCAGATGTTGGTTAGAAGCCAGTTGCTATGTTTCTTTACAACGCTTTTATGTGCAAGCCAGTGTGTACTTTAGAAGGCCAAAATGCAGCAAATGTATGAAACTGTAAGGTCATTTAGCCCACATTTTGAAGTGTTGCATAACACTTAGTATATGCCTGAAGGCCTTTACTGGTGTACTACAGTAGTAGAGCTATTCTGCGTCGGACATTTTAAATGGCAAGTGAAATTTCACACATTCTGAATTACAGAACTGCCCTTTTTCCTCTCATTTTACTACAGTGTCAGTAGATGTAAAAGGTTTCCCTGCCATTTTATATGTACAAGGATGTACAGAAACTATCATTCCTATCTCTGTCCATAACGCTCCCTAAGGTTAAATTTCAATTGGCTTTATCATTGGCTTTCTTATGTGCCGCATGTTTGAGCCTGGCTCACTGGGCTTGAAAGGTGCCAAAGCACCATAAGGTCGAGGAAGAGGAAGAACATTTTCATCTTCAGGTATGTAAGCATTAGGACGCTGCTCCGCTGTGGTGTAGGTTCCATTTGGCAAAAAGTGTTGTTCTTCCTCCTCTTGAATCTGCAGAAGAAGTTTATAGCCATTAGTAATATGATGATTATTGTTTTGTTGGAATTTTAAATACTGACATGTTTTTGGCATTATGTGATGCAAGTAGGTCTTTAGCATTTCTTAGAACTTAATGTCTTTTTTACAGATCTAATTAACAAACATGTAAACTAATACTACAGATATTGTGACTCAGGTATTACAATTTTCAAATGGTTTATAAAACTAGTTTTCTAATTTTATACATGTGAAATGCTTGTTAAAAATAAAATTTGTCATGCAATATTGGTCTGTTTTGTGTATGACTATCTGCAGGGAACATCAAGCCTATTAGTGACATGCATTTATGCCAAGATCAGTGATGAACCATTTTGGTTTCATCCTTTAACCTGTGGTTAAAAAGAGTCCCACACAGTGGATTAATTTACTTTCCCTAATCCTGTTTGCAGCCTCAGTACCCACTGAAGCCACCTTCAAAATCTCAAAGTTTCTCCCAAGAACTTTCCTTCAATACTCTGGCTTGGTATCTGTTCCTTTCTATATATCAAGAGGAACCAGACAAGGTAGCCCTCTGTCCTCTTTACTTTTTATTTTAGTGATAAAACCCCTAGCCCAACTTTAAGACCTAAACATAACAGGCCTTGAGGTTGCTGTTGTGTGCCAAAAATTGTCTCTTAGCTAACAATGCGATTTCTTTATCATAAATCTAATTTCCGCTCTCCCTTATCTTCTCACCACATTACATACTTTCACCAAAATCTCAGGCGTCACTAACAATGTCAAATTAATGGCATCTCATTCCCACCATTCGCTGTATATCTCTTACAACAGTGTTTTGAATTTAAGTGCGTTGTTATATCTTCACAAACTGGATAGAAAAGCTGGGTGCACCCAGTCCAATGAAGTACTCTCTAGCAACACAAATACACCAGCTGGCTAAATGACATGCAACATGGGTAAGCTTAAAAGTGGTAAACCTCAATCCCTTAATAATAGATAAAATTAGGTACTTCACAAAGGTTCAAACATCAAAAACTAAATTGTTGCTCATTAACCACTTGCCCTCCAGAGGATTTACCCCCCTTCCTGACCAGGCCATTTTTTGCGTTATGGCGCTGCATTACTTTAACTGACAATTGCGCATCATGCAATGCCGCACCCAGATTCAATTTGTCCTTTTTTTTTTCCCAAGAATTGAGCGTTCTTTCGGTGGTATTTGATCGCCTGTGCATTTTTATGTATTTTTTTTTTTCTTTTACGCTATAAGCAAAAAGACCAATTTTGAGAAAAAAATCAATATTTTGGACTTTTTGCTAATAAGCATGTCCAGTAAAAAAATTTACAAAATCAAATTTCATCATAAATTTAGGCCAAAATGTATTCTGCTACATGTCTTTGCTAGAAAAAAATCCCAATACGTGTACATTAATTGGTTTATGTTTCTTAGCTAACAATGCAATTTCTTTATCAGACCCCCACCCCACCTATCATCCCGCACACTAAAACCCCCCCAACACTCCACTCCTTCGACTTTGCTACCACTGAAGAGGTCACTAAGGTCTTCTCTGAAGCCCGCCTCACCACCTGCCCCCTTGACCCTGTCCCCACACAACTCCTACGGTCACCCTCCTCCTCCATCCTACGCTCCCTCACTCACAACTTCAAACTCTCCCTCTCTACTGGCACATTCCCCTCCCCCCTAAAGCACGTGCACATCACTCCCATACTTAAAAAAAAACCCTCCCTGGACCCCACCGACCTGAACAACCTTAGACCCATCTCTCTGCTGCCATTTTCATCCAAGCTCCTCGAGCGCTTTAGTCTATAATCACCTAAGCTCCCACCTCAACGACAACAAACTCCTTGATCCCCTACAGTCTGGCTTCTGTCCCCTACACTCCACCGAAACCGCCCTACTCAAACTCACCAACGACCTGCTAACCGCCAAAGCTAATGGCCACTACTCAGTGCTCCTACTCCTCGACCTCTCCGCTGCCTTCGACACAGTCTACCACCCCCTCCTCCTTAAAAAAAACTATACTCCCTTGGCCTCAGACACTCCGCTCTCTCCTGGCTCTCCTCCTATCTATCCCAGCGCTCCTTCAGTGTTATCTATAAAGCTGCCACCTCCCCCTCTCTCCCCCTCTCTGTTGGGGTCCCCCAAGGCTCTGTCCTCGGGCCCCTTCTCTTCTCCATCTACACCTCCTCCCTTGGCCAACTGATACACTCCTACGGCTTCAACTACCACCTCTACACCGATGACACGCAAATCTACCTCTCTACCCCTCGCCTCACCCCTTCAGTCTCCGCCCGAATCACCCGCCTACTGAACGACATATCAGATTGGATGTCACTCCACTTCCTCAAACTAAACCTTTCCAAAACTGAGCTCCCTAGTTTTCCCCCCAGCCCACGCCCCCCCCCCAACCTCTCCATCATGACCAATAACGCCATCATCAGTCCCACCCCGCAAGCCAAAGTTCTGGGTGTCATTCTAGACTCCAATCTGTCCTTCCAGCCCCATGTCCAATCACTGGCAAACTCATGCAGGCTCCACCTCCGCAACATCTCCAAAATACGTTCGTTCCTAACCCAAGATGTAACAAACTAGCTCATCAGAGCTGGGAGCGGAGTTCTTCTTTTACTTTCTGTTATGTGAGGTATTCCTCGAATCATTCCTCACATCCTCCCTTTCCAGCCCTGAGAGGCCCTTATCTCCTGACAGATGGTGGGGGTCAGCCCAGGAGAAACATTCCTGGTGGGGCCAGCAGGCTGGGAAAACTGTCACCTTTCTCACCTACGTCTGATAAGGCCACATTTCTCAGAGGGCTGGAAAGCATTGACCCAAAACGGCGTAAGCCCACACATTATCAAACTGACCAGAGTAATTGAACATTCCTCGGGGTCAACCGTATGTTTCATGTCATGTATTAGGAAGCTATAGTTTATTCAGTTTCCCACTGACCACTCCCAAAACGTGTAGTCCGAGCCCCCCCTCCCCTTTGAGAGGAACGTTTAAGAGACACAAGTGAGTTAGAGATGCAGAGACACACAGACACACACAGATCTCCGAGGTAACATCGTAACAGAGGAGATCAAAGAACCTTTCTGATCTGCATCTTGGATTTGCAAATCCAGGCATATGGGCAAGTAACTTAACCCTGTAATCTTCTTCCTAATTATCTCTTTGCTGTGTCTTTATATACATATATATATATTTTTGTGACATCTCTTTGTAAATATTTTATCGCACCTGTTTTGACCCTGTTAGAAATAAATATTTCTTTCTGAAAGTGTTAAACTGTTTCTAAGCACTTACTTGCAATTCACGAATCCCTGCCTTTGAAGAGATGCTACTGTTTGTTATATCTCTGTATAGCAGGTCCGTGGGCCGTGCTATATAGATCAATATATCAATCATTATAGTGTATATTTGATAACGGGAGTTTCCCAGTCTCCGACAAAAGTGGTGGTGGCAGTAGAAGGGTTAGTTGCGTAATTAACCCGACCCAGTAACAAGCGCATTCAGGCTGCAAGCACAGATTGTAGACCATTAGCTGGGCAATCGCTGTGTAGGGTGCAGCTGGGTGGGGCCTTGTTACGCACGTCACACCGCGGTTTGGATTGGCCGGCCCTTCGGTCACGAGTTTGGGGAGAAGGTCTGGGGTCTGACGCCGTGGGCGTGACGTATTACTGTTAGTCGCGGCTGTGCGATTGTCGCCTGTTGGTGGCGGCGACCGTGGGCCGTGACACCAGACACTACTAAACAACTTATTCACTCCATTATTATCTCACGACTCGACTACTGAAACTCCCTCCTCACCGGCCTACCTCATCACAGACTATCCCCGCTTCAGTCTATCCTGAACTCTGCGGCCAGACTCATCCACCTTACCAACCGCTCCGTATCCGCCACTCCCCTCTGTCATTTCCTTCACTGGCTTCCGATTGCAAAACGCATAAAATTCAAACTTTTAACATTGACGTACAAAGCTATTCAAAATACTGCCCCAAACTACCTCACCGACCTGATATCCAAATACCACCCAAAACGTACTCTTTGCTCCTCACAAGACCTCCTACTCTCTAGCTCCCTGGTTTCCTCCTCCCATGCCCAACTCCAGGACTTCTCCAGGTCTTCCCCCATGCTCTGGAACTCACTACCCCAATCCATCAGACTGTCACCTACCCTCCTCACCTTTAGGCGCACCCTGAAAACCTATCTCTTCAGGGAAGCCTACCCTGCCCTCACCTAACTGCCGATCTCCTCCACTCCTCCTACCCCTCCATCCCCCACAGCCATTTCCTCCTGTACCACTATCCCCTCCCTCCTAGATTGTAAGCTCCACGGAGCAGGACCCTCGAACCCCTCATGTATTGTATTGTTACTGTATTGTCTCATGTACTGTCTCCCACTATAATGTACAGCGCTGAGCAAACATTTTGGCGCTATATAAATACTGAATATTAATAATAATTATGTGAAAGTTATAGAGTTTCCAAATGGCAGTATAGATACTGGGATATTTTTTTTCCCAACTAGTAATGGCGGCAATCATTGACTTTAGTGGGACTGCGGTGGGCATTCTGACACTGGGGGAGAACTAATATGGTGTCACTGACATCCCCAGTGACATCAATACAGTGATCAGTGGTAAAAAAAACAGCGCTGACACTATACTAATGACACTGGGCAGGAAGGGATTATGTTAGGGGCAATCAAAGGGGTTATTGTGTGTAAGAAGTGTTTTACTGGGGGGGTGTGATTCACTGTAGGCACACTGATTGGGCTGGCTGTGCTGTGCACAACCATCCCGAACAGTGTGCCCGAGCTGACAGGGAGGAAGACTGTGAACAAAACTGTCTTCCTCCCCATCTGTGATTGTTGGTAATCACTGGTGGGAACCTGGTGATTGACATCCAAGGCCATGCCCCCCTACCCGGAAATGCAAAATCACGTGTATATATACGTGATTTTGCACCGCCGTGTAGCAGTATATCTGCTATACGGTGGTGGATAAGCGGTTAAGACTTTGGGACTCTTATAATTATACAGGAGGCCTGATATTTCCACACCTACCCATCCAGTCATTATTGTGGAACCTCTCCTTCCCCTAGGTATGGAAGCCCCAGAGAATTTCACCTATTTGACCCACCACAGTATTGCTCTTCTGAACCATTTAGATTCCAGCTTGTGTTCAATCTTTTTAATATTTCCTGAAAAAGTTTGATATTCTGTCATAGTATAAACCAATGGAAATTAAAAGCAGAATATGTGGTCCGCAGTGACAGTCAATACAATGCTGTACCCTTGATAGGGATAAGCTGACGCATTTCGGGAGATAAACCCCCTTCCTCAGAGCTATTGAGGAAGGGGGTTTATCCCCCAAAACGCGTTAGAAATCCCTATCAAGGGTACAGCATTGTATTGACTGTCACTGCGGACCACATATTCTGCTTTTAATTTCCGTTGGTTTGTGAGTATACATCCATTTGTCTATTAATAAAAACGTGGTGTACCACAGTAATGCATGATGAGAGTGCGCCCTTGTCTGCTTTTGTTCAATTCAAACTCATGACTTTCCTCATCACTATGACAAACAAACCATAGCTAAGGATTGGATAATGGAATGCCAAAGTTGGAAAATATGGGTCCTCTGGGTTAAACACAGTTTTCTATCTGACATTGATCATTTGGCTCCTTCACCTTTTAGGGTTCTACTCAGCAGACTTTATACATGTCTCCAGTCATGGATTCCCCCTTTTTCCCACCTTTTGCGAGTTTCATTTGACTATTTTTCTTATATGCCAGCTTTGTCCCACCTCTATGGGATCTTAGCCATGACTAGTTTCACAATACCAGGCTGCTGCCTACACAACACACACATAGCGCCTTTGCCAATACCGCCTTACAACCAATCCAACCCCATCCATACTACTTTATATAATGTTGATTTTTATTGTAATGATTGGGTCTGTTTCTCGTGCAACATTATCGGATGTTTATTCACTGTAAGTTTACCTATTTTCTACTAATTTCCCCTTTCTGAAAAAACTCTTAAAACCCTATTTAACAGAAAACCCTGGTATTTCTGTGTAGTCAAGATACACCTACACAATGCAGGCTGAGAACAGGAGCAGCAAATTAAGCCTAGGTGCTCTCTTATATGGGGATGTGCTTCACAGTGTGCAGGTACTAATCTTTAAATTGAGGCACTTGAAGGTGCTGCTATGCGTCAGGAAGGGTCTTTTTTTTAATACACAAAGTACACTGTAATCTGCACAGGTTGATTTGTTCTTGCATTGTAAACCTGTGTTCTGTTCAAACATCATATATCATACATAGAAAAAATAGTGTATCTGTTAATGATTGCATTTGGAGCAAATATAGGTTAATTTCATGATGGTAAAGGACCCCAATATGTTCCTTGTGTACACAAGCAATTGATAAAAAAAACATGTAGGGAAAAAAGTCCTTGTGGCAATCAATCACGTTATTGTTTTATCTGTTGTCACCATGTTACAAGGCCTGCAGCTGGAAACAAGCTCAATTAATTGAATGTAAAATACGAAGAAACCTCCCGCGCTGCCACAAAAAACCCCCACCAAATACTAAACTAAACCCCCCCAGCCTGGAAAAGCGGCTAGCACTCAGCTGTATAACCAAATAGTAAGGAGACCAAAAAAAGGAAAGTGGTCCTGTGCTAGTCACAAATCTAAATGAATCGGCAAGGAAAAGTGGGAGAAATGTGAGGCCCACAAATACAGTACCAAAAATGTGGGAAAAAAGCACAAACAGCACTTCCTCAGGCCCTGATACCTATATGGTTTTCACGTTTGCATTTCCTTATATGTCCAGTTCATTTACCACATAACTATAGCACATCTTTAGGATCATCACGTTTAGTTGAGGATGTGTTTGTTTGCTGTTTTTCATATATTGTAGTGAACTTGTGCTGTTTGTGCTTTTTTTCCCCCACATTTTTGGTACTGTATTTGTGGGCATCACATCTTGCTGATTCATTTATATTTTTGATTAGTGCAGCACCACTTTCCTTTTTTTAAGCTCAGTACATTTTAACCTTCCATATTTTAAAACCGCACAAACTTTCTAAACAACTGTGATTTATGTACCTGAATTTTTCTTTTCCTGAGTTATGGTCAAACATATTACCATTTGATCTCACAATCTCCTTTCAATCTACCAATTATTATGCAGTTTGAGGGTTCACCTAATCCTCTATAAATGTAGAGGTTTGTTAATGTAGGCACTTAAATAAGACTTTTGGTAACCATAAAGGAGATCATACATTGGGATTATGATGTGTGTGGCCAGGTTTAGTAACAAGGCTAAATGCAAGCAAAAGAAACTTCACACATTTCTTTGCAAACTAGCCACAGATTGAATTGAAATTCATCTGGTTCAACAGGGACTGACCGAATTTCGATCCATCTATAGGTGCTCCCACTCGCCAGAGGTTAATAACGATCAACATTTTTTGAACAGGACTGTTGGAAAATTGTTCTCAATCAGCTGGCTGCAGCTGCTGATCAGTGTTTTCTGACAGCGGCGGTGTTCTGCAGTCTGAATACAATGGCACAATTGAAAGGATTCATTCACCCACCGTGCATGTGTGAATGGGGGAATCCATTTGTGTTTTTGTTTTGCTCAGTTCTCTGGCTAATGCAAACTAAAATGAGGCATCTATGGCTAGTTTAAAGCTTGTGTATGATGTATGCCTGGCAGCTACAATCAGGGTGATTTCAGCTGTGTACAGATCACTCACTGCTGTTTGAAAAGTAAATACATATTTCTTAAGGACCTAGACTGCTAAATGCCATAAAATGACAGCCTTCTTTAAACTTCATACCCTTGTCTTTTCTTCTCTCTCAAGTTGGCGTATACGTTCTTCACGCACTAAGCGCTTCCATTCTTGCTTGATTTCCCCACTCGGTGGCAACCCCTGTTCCATCCTTGCATGGCATGTTTCAACAAACTTTTCTTTATCTCTTACTTCTTGCTGCAGCTTTATGCAGTTGGCTTGCTGCATAGATAACTCTGCAATTTGGGACATCATTTTACGAGTTGTGTCTTTAATCTTGTTTTTCATTTTATTTATCTGCCAAAATAATAAGAGTATGAGACATTAGAACAGCAAAGCACTGTGTTAATATGGATTGACTTTTCTTTTTCACAGACTAGGGCTAATATATTTAAATTGTGCTTTTTCATTTATAGCCATTCAGCATAAAAGTAGTATTATCTGAATCTTGGGAAAAGGCAGATATTTCTCATTACAGACCTTTTTAGCACAAGTTAAAGTGTCTTCTTTGCCATTTTCAGCTTTTATGCGTATCCTGTCTGATAGCTTAGAGACTTGCTCGTAGAGGAAATCTTTTTCCAGCAACTGTTCCTCCTTCTCAGCCAGGCGCAGTTCAAGCTGCATTGAATGCAAATACATATAAATCAGATGCCAGTTTCTATAACGGTACAGGGAGAAGTGCAGTAGCTTAGAAGAATCACTTTTCCCATATATCAGTCATTAGAGAACACATAAAGGCTATATCCATAATTGGCTACAAAGAAGACAGCAAATAGAGTAAATTAATTCTGTAAAGTTTCCAACAGCACTAACCTAAATGAATACGCATTTCTGGTATATAACATATTAGGCCAGGTCCATGGATGTGTATATGCTGTAATGCATATTACTGGTTTTAAAAGAGGCACAACGTAAGCATGTGTAGACACTAACGATGAACTAATTTGTAATATAAAATGATGTAGCGCTTACACAAAATAATGCATAAACAATAAATATTGTGCATAAACAGTGACCCCAGACACTCAGTGACTTGTAATCGAAGAGTGAAAAATATATAAATATGTAAGTGCAGCCTTTGGGCTTTAAACCTACATGAATATATTGATCACACAAGGATCAAGTAATAGAGTGAAACAAAATGCACAAACAACTTTAATAAAGATGATGAAATGAAATCAACTCTAGTGATCACACTAATTTCCCAACCGATTGATCAGAATGAGATCATAAAAGCTATCTAAAGTGCGAAAAATAGCCCAATGACTATATCTGTGCTCTGAAAGAAAGACTCTGAAAGGTCCAAGTGATGTCTTGCAATAAACAGTACAAAAAAAAATATATATATATACGCATGTGTACAAATAATCAAAAATGAAAACCAAAGTGAAAAATACATAACCACATACACTACTGCATGCGTAATGGTGACAAATAATATTCCAACGTGAATATATAATAAAATAAAAAAACTTCAAACGCCCTACAAATTCCCCACAAAATAAAAATATTAAATATTAAAAAGTCCAGGGTTAGCCCTGAAGAAGTCACGTGACGTGACGCAATGCGTCGGCAGCGCAGTGAGGTACTTCCGGTCATTGGACTATTTTTTGCACTTTAGATAGCTTTTATGATTTCATTCAGATCAACCGGTTGGGAAATTAGTGTGATCACTAGAGTTGATTTCATTTCATCATCTTTATTAAAGTTGTTTGTGCACTTTGTTTCACTCTATTACTTGATCCTTGTGTGATCAATATATTCATGTAGGTTTACAGCCCACAGGCTGCACTTATATATTTTTATTTATATATTTTTCACTCTTCGACTACAAGTCACTGAGTATGAGGGGTCACTGTATATGCACAATATTTATTGTTTATGCATTATTTATTTTGTGTAACCGCTACATCATTTTATATTACATTTTCTGTACAGATCTATGGGTCTATGATTGGATGTTGGCAGCTGCACTTAGTTTAGTTTGTTTTTATAGTCAGTAGGCAGAAGCGCAACAGGTCTCACCTTTAATTCAATGAACTAATTTGCTCTCCTTTTTGTCTGTTAAATGTAACATCGAAAGCATTTTGTTATATATTTTCAATAAGTGCAAAACAATACCTTCCAGAAATCTAGCGAGTTATTTATTTCCTTTCTTCTGTCTGTACTGCCTTATGTCTATAGAACATCTCCCTTCTAGGATATGGAGATGTGTTTGAATTCCAAATTAGGAAAGCTGCCTAGGACAGGAACTGTGTTACTGACAGAATCACTATGTGAAAGAAAAGTAAAAAAAACACATTAAAATAAGTGTTTGATTTAGTGGTAGGTTTGCAATATCAACAGCTTAGTGTACCTGTCATTCCGCTAACATTTCCCTCACTGGCCATGCCTTAGGCACTCTCGAGTAAGGAGAGATGAGTTGATTTCTTAAAAGCAAATAGGCTGTTCACCTTGCAAGGAAATTTTCCTCAGGGCTTAGTGAATGTGGTGAAATTTCACTTTGCAAAGAAGTCGTGTGCAAGGAAAATAAAAAAAAAAAGATAACATTTTTTGCTTGCACATTGGATGATGGAATTCAGCAGCACTTCACCTCCTTTGCTAAATGAAGTGAAAATTCCCTTGAAAAGTGCAACTTGCCTTAAAACATGAAGTCTGCTGGAGGCTGTTATTGCCAGATTTCCCTCCATGGCAAGTATAACATGCCTACAGAACATTTCTAGTGAGAATTAATTTATACTGGCTTTGTTGTTAACTCCACCTCCTCTGTTTTCTTCAGAAGCTCTGGTTGTGATGGGTCCTTTCCTTCAAGCTTACGCGTCCTGGTTATTTTCTCTGGATCCTCTGCATGTTTTTCCAGGTCGTTTAATCTGTCATTACACTGAGAAAGCTGCTCAATAAGGAAAAAAAATATTGTTAACTAAATATTCAGTAATACAGTAGATTACTTTATATGCAGCAGAAATTAAAAAGTCATAATTATACTGTGGCTTTGTTTTACTTCTACAAATGTTTGTCTCTTCTACAAATGTGGCTTTATGCAATTCTTTTTTTAAAAAAGAGTCAGGAACTATTCTATTAGAACACTTTAGGCTGTTTCTGTACAATAAACCAGTGATACCCTTTATCCCATTAGCGTTTGTTTTCATCCATGCAGGAATTGTAGATATACAAGATTTGTTTAAAGCATCTATGTCACATCACACAAATGCATTATGTAAAGCTGTCAGAATAGGTTGTATCAGGGGCGGACTGACCATTTGGAAACTGGCACTGCCTGAGGGCCCAGGGTCAGTAGGGGGCCCCATGAGATGCCCCTGGTACCTTTTTCATAGGCTTTTTTGAGTTTGGGCAAGGACACAGGGGCCCCATGATCCCCTATTGCCCGGGGGCCCCATGAGTAGTCAGTCCGCCCCTGGGTTGTATCATAAATGCCAGATCTGAACCACCAGCAGTCCAGCTCTCCAGTCCAACAAATTATAAACTTTGTTAGCCAAACTCCTAGCCCAAGCTTACCCATAGTACACATATCACTGGGGAGCATATTCAGTTATTGAAATATGATTGCTGTATATGCAAACTCTTCTTGCCTCAAAGGTGGACCACTAATAACTCACCAGAAACACACTTACATTTTACTATAGCATGAAACATGTTAGATCCTTACCAATCAAGTGACTAGATATTTTTTGGAGCATTACTGTATTCTTGCCAGACAATCAAAAATAAAGGAGCCTATATACTGTATAAAGGGATGAAACCTAATAGTGTTTATTAGAACAAATGGTTTTGCCTGATGATAAAGCTGGTCTCAATGCCATCTTTTTGCCATATTTCAACAAATGTGAAAAAAATCCAGCACAATGTACACTCATCAGTCGCTTTATTATGTACACCTTGAAAGTGCCAAGAAAATATCCCCCATACCATTACACCACTAGCCTGAACCATTGATACAAGGCAGGATGGATCCATGCTTTTATGTTGTTGATGCCAAATTCTGACCCTACCATCTGAATATCGCAGCAACCAGTCTGCCCATTCTTGTCTGACATCAACAAGGCATTTTCGTCCACACAACTGCCACTCAGTGGATATTTTCTCTTTTTTGGACCATTCTCTGTAAACCCTAGAGATGGTTGTGTGTGAAAATCCCAATAGATCAGCAGTTTTTGAAATACTCAGGCCAGCCCCTCTGGCACGAACAAACATGCCACGTTCAAAGTCGCGTAAATCCTCTTCTTTCCCCATTCTAAAGCTCAATTTGAACTTTAGCAAGTTGCCTTCACCACATCTACTTGCCTAAATGCGTTGAATTGCTGCCATGTGATTGGCTGATTACCAATTTGTGTTGCCAAGCAATTGAACAGGTGCACTTAATAAAGTGGCCGGTGAGTGTATTTTCTAAAAATGTCCCATATAGTCTGCTCCACCTTAAGCCTGGCATAACCCAATATTATCAAAAGATGGCCACTGCAGAATGCCATTTCAACAGGACAGAATAATATAATAATAATAATGGTGATAGTTGTTGATGCTAAGAATTTGCTGCAAGTCACCAGTTTTTTACTTTTTTGGAAATTTGTCTGCTTTTCACTATTTTTGACAATATTAAATAAGTTCCAAAGCCGCAATACATATTGTGGCTAAGCCAGCCAAGTTTTTAAGATGTTTCCTTTGGAAACTGAAATGGCAAGAAGCCTAATAAGTGTGGAAATATTCAAGAGGAGGAACATTGAATACAGAATGTTTTTTGTCTAATGATATTTTTTATCTTTAGGGAGAATGTTCATTCAAAGTTCTCGCTTTCATACTGAAATAGAGAGTTTAAAAAGAAGAGCAGAGGAAAATTTGTCAAATCTACTTACAAACATTCTTTATTGGAATGACTATTTCTGAACAGTTTTAAAGGTAATCTAAAGAGTTCAGAAAGGCAGCAAGGCAACTAGAAGTCAAATCAACAAGTTTTCCAGAGTATTTATATATCTGTATGGAGATTTGCATACAATATCCTAAATCTTTAATTTTAAGTAAATGCTTGTTTACTCATTTAAAAAATAAATGCATAACAAATAAACGCAAAACTTTCTTTTCTTTAGATTTGGATAGAGTGGTCAGGTTTTAACTGCTGTTTTGTGTTCCCATTAGGCAGATTCACACTCTTAACTGTCCTGATCACCAGTGTCACTGGAAATAAAAGTGACGGTAAATCCAAAATGTTAAGACCATGGAACAGGAAATCTTTAAACTGGGACAACTGTTTCCCTGACAATTTTACTATAGTATAGACAACTTTAAAATACTGACCAAAGAGCCTAAACGACCTTAAATGAATGGTCCTCAAACTCTTCAAACAAAGGACCAGTTAATTGTCCTTCAGATTTTAGATCGTCCAGACTGTGGCTAATATGAGTAGTAACTGCCCTGATGTTAGTGGGAGTTAAAAATGCCCGGGGTTGGTGGTTAGTGATACTAAAAATGACTGTCGTTGGTATCAGTGGAAGAAATAGTACCCCATCATTTGTGTCAAAGGGAGGAATAATGACCCATTGTTGTTTTCATTTCAAGAAATAGTGTCTCAATGGCCAAAGGTAAGTACAGGGTTGATGTTTGGAGACCACTGGCTTAAACTGTACATAAAAGCTCATTTTCTTTGCGGTCTGTGCCCCTACTGTGGAGATTCATGATTTTTTCTGTTTGTTTTTTTACAGTGGTGGATATTGTCATCAAGACAGAAAGTGAGTGAAAATCCAACATTTTTGGGATGTCACCAGAGCAAAAGGCGAAGGTAAATCATCCAATGGGGATAATTTGTTTCGGTGACAACTATCTATGTATAAGGGATGGGTATTTCCCTTGCTTTTGTGAAATTTACTATAATTTCCTGGTGTGGCTTCAGGACAGGAAATGAAGGAGACTCTTCCCAATGGGATACAGACAGCCAAAATAACATGATAGGGGTTTTAACCCTTTATTACTCTATTCTCTTGTCAAACTGGCCTTTTTAAGACCACATGCGGCCCTCTCATTCTTTCTTTGCAGCCCTTAGTGGTTTAAGGATAAAAAAGTGTGCACCCAGCCTTCTTGAATTGTTAGGGTCCATTTACACCTTGATGACCTGGTACATTGCATTAGCACATGTTGTGTTAAGAAAGACCTTTAAACTAAATTGACCGGCATAGCACCAAAATGTCCAAAAATCATAATACACCATTTTATGCAACACAGCACACCAAAATGCATGACAGTGTTTTGCTGTGCATTATGGTGCACTGCAATACATGTGTGTTCCTGTAGAACATTGGATGCTATTAAACGTATTGGCACCATAATGCACTGATGCATGTAATGGTGTGCTGAGGTAATGCATGTATTACAAAACCATGTGAATGGGCCTTAAGCCCTGTCAGTTTGTCCCACTGTTGAGTATGACATATCTGCTCTACCCTGACACTAGCCTAACCTAACTCTCTTCCCACTCAAAAACAAAACACAAGTGTGTGGTAAGTAGCCAACAAGAAAAAAAATCAGCTTTCAAGTGACCTCTAGCTGCCTTACCCCATAGCAGTTCTCATATTTGTGCTTTACTTCTGTCAATACGTTTGAGGAATGTCTAAATACTGGTCCCACTGACCTGGATCTGGAGGATCACTAGATCGGATTCCAGGTTCCTCTTATTTGGTAGCTCTTTCTTGACTTGTTCAATCTGTCTCTTCTTTTCTGCAGCCTTCATCTTAAGGAAACGGATCTTTTCATCTTGTTCCATCAAACTAACATCTCCATTCCGAAGTACTGTTTCTTGAGCATTTATCTTCTCATAGAAGATGCAGACCTCTTCCTCCCGCTCAATTAACTGCACCCCCCTGACAGGTAAAATCAAAGAAATCTCTTTACAGCGGGATATACCTTGGGCCTCATGAATCACAGTAAAGCATTAGGAACTGGTGTGCTTGCCTTAAAAAAGAAATCCAAGCAAATTTTTTATTTTCCCATGCAGTGGGGCTGTGCCCTCACTCATTTTTTCCCAATTTTTTTTTACATTTGTTGAATTGCCTAAATTGTATATAGGGAGATTGGGTGCCCATCTGTTGTTTAGAGTTGTTACTGCCGGTAGAACTAGAGTTTTTTTTTTTTTTTTTTTCACTAATTGACATGTTGCTAACAATCATCTTTAAGGACGCATTTGTATTGTGTTTTTTAATTGTGCCATTTTATTCAGAGGTAGTTTCCCACCTTCCTTCCACCATGGAAGTTAGGAACACTGCACTGAATATTGAAATATAAAATTTTGCTAATTTTGATCAATCACAGTTTTAATTATGTTTTTTTCTGTTGTAAATCTGAAGTTTAATTTTTATTGCATTCAATTGTAGTTAATTCCTGTAATCGTGTATATGAAATGCAAATTACCAGTAAATTTAGTTTTTGTATGAAAAATATATATAAATATTCTTGTATATAAATAACTTCTTTATTGATCAAATTTGGAGTTGTTATTGTAAGAAATCACATTTTTGTTATTTTGCCATAACAGCTGGAGGCACTGTGTCATAATAATTACTGTAATATTAATATGAATAAAAATGGACGGTGTCTGACTTCCGTATATTATTACCACTACACAAAATTGAAATCAAAAGTACAACAACCTATCAATTTAATGATTTCCCAAAACAGTTCAATGCAAGGCATGCCATGAATAAACTAGCTTGTGCTCTGGTCTGAACTGTCAAGCCATCAAAATGACTGGTGTCATAACTGATCACATGGGCAACACCATGGCAACTGCAGATCAAACCGAGACTAAGAAGGCAGCTTCCTTGGCTGTAAAGGACACAAGGGTTTAGTTCCCCTTTTTAATGAAAGCAGTTAACATACCTGTACATCGCTGGACGCAGGCATCACTTCACTATCGTTAGCCACTCGCAAATGCACACGTCTGTCCTGCATGCACACAAAGAGCGCTCATCCCACACATGTGAGGTATCACCACGAATGTCAGATCATGGGCAGTAATTCTAGCACCAGACCTCCTCTGTAAATCTCAAGTAGTAGCCTGTAAAGGCTTTTAAATATTTGCCTATGAATAGTAAAATGATGTCATTTGTCACCGTTGCACGGGCGTGCAAAGTTTTAAAGCGTGGTGTGTTTGGTATCTATTTACTCAGTGGAACATCATCTTTTATATTTGAGTTATATTTGTGTTTTTTTGCGTTAAAGTTTAAAACCGTGTATTTTTTCACAAAAAATTGTGTTTGAAAAACTGCTGAGCAAATACCGTATGACATAAAAAAAAATTATATAATGTTTAGGGGTTCTAAGTAATTTTCTAGCAAAAGATACTGATTGTTACATGTGAAAAAAAGGTGCCAGAAAAGGCATGGATTAGAGGTGGTTAAAAAACTAAAAAAAAACCACTGTATATTCTCTAACAGATTGAAAATCCCTCTCACCCTTTAATGGTGGGTCATTTCAAAACCAAACTTGTAAAATATAATTATCCTTTTTGAACCATCTTTGTAAATAAGCAGTACAGACAATATAGACTGAGTTTATTGAAATACAGATGTATTTGCCATACGGATTGCTATTTTCAGCCATGTAACTTATTTTCAGCTCTCCGTTGTCACGGCTAAAAACAATGGTCTTCATGTACAAAAACAATCATTAAAGCTCAGTGAATTTAGCCTTTTTAAGAAACTATATTGATCAATATTGATCAGAAGCCCTGTTTGAACTACTACCACTTTTTTTTTGTAGTAATATATAATGAAATGCAGAATAAAATGTGTTCTAAAGGGCACCATAGTCACCTCTCATTCCTGTTCTGCACTGCTGTTTCATACTTTTTGCGAAGACGAACCATATCCTCCTCTGCTTGGTTAATCATATTTGTAAGTCTGCCAATCTCCATTTTCTTTTGTTCTCTGATTTCTTTCATTTCTTGAAGAATAACAGTAATTCTGCTCTTATCCTTCCGAAGACTGTCTCGGATCATATGGTTATTGGTCTGCTTCAACATAGCTTTTTGAAGTTGTCTGTGTCACAAAATTAAAATATTTACCTTTAATGTCTTTATTACATTTAATATTAATAATAATAGAAACAAATCTATCGCATGACTTCAGAAAATGACCATCTGACATTGGAGCCAATGCTATAATGCAAGACTGAGACTATACAGAAGCTTACACTTCAGTTGTGTAGCATTTGTATATGCCTTAATAAGATTATTATTTAATTGACATTTACTAAATATTCTTTGTTAATATTTATTATTGGCCTGAAAAAAGGGGCAAGAAAAGGCCACTCTGCACAGTTGCTAATTATACTCTATAGTCTACATATTATATCTTCACTTTCTTAAAAAATACAGTAGCAACAATAAAGGTCCATTTTGATAAAACAGGTCTAAATTTTATATCTTCATGACTATAGTTTGTAAATCTGCAGTATGGTCAGCCATGACCAGTCCCACATATTAAGTAAATTAAAGTGCAGCGCTAAGTATTAGCAGTAAATGTAAGAAGTATAAATGAATACTAAAATGTCCCATAAATAATATAAACGCATGAATAAATAGTTCGTAAAATATATAAGATGATCCACTTGAAGTAGCAATGTACCAAGGCAAGTTGTCACAGGAACAAATGATAAAAGTGCGCACTCACCGGACGTGCATAGATATTGCGCATGTAATCAGTATCCACCCAGATCACTTAGGAAGGCGGAGTAGGTGAGCTTCCATCTAAAGGTAGGTGATCTTGTCTTGGTGGTGTGTAATAAAAACTGCTAGGTCCAGAGGTCCCCTTAAGGTTGGATGGGTGCACAGACTGGATACAGGACTCCCTCTCTGTGGTGGTAGTGGATTGCAATGGGATGTCCTGGAAATTAATTAGCTCCAATGGGAGCCAAAAAAGGTGCCCATAGTGTAGTATTGTATGAAGACTTTATTCAAAGGATGCAGTAGTAAAAACAGGGTAGTAAATACTCCATAAATCACTGTAATAATGAAGAGTAATACTAACCCCTTATTAAAGATGGCTGCCGGGCCTCCTAATGGCTCCAGGCAGCTTGTGACGTCACGCTCTGTTGGCTCCTCCTTAGGTCTTTCGTGCAGAGCACATCATCAGAAGGGAGGCCATCAGTAGCATGACAGACCTCCATTGTATTTATAGCTTAATGCGGGGATCGCGCGTGTGCATATCAGAGCCGCCATTTTGTTGTGGTCCGCGAAGTGCGCATGCGCGGCTCCGCGGGCACCATTTTGCCATGGATGAAATTCAATGAGCAATTCCCTATTACAGGGAAATACAAGCACTGCTCCTGTCACCAGTCTGCAGATATGCAGGACGTCAGTGTTAGAGGAACAGCATCTCCAGCACTGCATATTATTATTTACTGCATAATACAGTGCTGGAGATGCTGTTCCTCTAACACTGATGTCCTGCATATCTGCAGACTGGTGACAGGAGCAGTGCTTGTATTTCCCTGTAATAGGGAATTGCTCATTGAATTTCATCCATGGCAAAATGGCGCCCTCGGAGCCACGCATGTGCACTTTGTGGACCACAACAAAATGGCGGCGCCAATATGCACACGCGCGATCGCCGCATTAAGCTATAAATACAATGGAGGTCTGTCATGCTACTGTTGGCCTCCCCTCTGATGATGTGCTCTGCACAAAGGCCTAAGGAGGAGCCAACAGAGCGTGACGTCACAAGCTGCCTGGAGCCACGAGGAGGCCCGGCAGCCATCTTTAACAAGGGGTTAGTATTACTCTAAATTATTACAGTGATATTATGGAGTATTTAATACCCTGTTTTTACTACTGCATCCTTTGAATAAAGTCTTCATACAATACTACACTATGGCACCTTTTTTTGGCTCCCATTGGAGCTAATTAATTTCCAGGACATCACATTGCAATCCACTACCACCAGAAGGAGGGAGCCCTGTATTCAGTCTGTGCACCCATCCAACCTTAAGGGGACCTCTGGACCTAGCAGTTTTTATTACACACCACCAAGACAAGATTACCTACCTTTTTAGATGGAAGCTCACCTACTCCGCCTTCCTAAGTGATCTGGGTGGATACTGATTACATGCCCAACAGCTATGCGCATATGGTGAGTGTGCACTTTTATCATTTGTTCCTGTGACAACTTGCCTTGGCATACTGTTACTTCAAGTGGATCATCTTATATATTTTACGAACTATTTATTCATGCGTTTATATTATTTATGGGACATTTTAGTATTCATTTATACGTCTTACATTTACTGCTAATACTTAGCGCTGCACTTTAATTTACTTATTATCTTATGAGGTTTGCTGTGATTACCTTGAGTGCATAGGCTGCTGATTTTAGAGCGCTCACTTTCCTTATATTTTCAGTCCCACATATTAACACCCTTACTGGGATATTTGTTATCTGTATATTATAATATTATGATGTCTTTAGTTATAGTAAACCCTTGAGGGCTGTCATTCTGAGTCTCTCATGTGGCCCTAGTGAGTCACTCTTCTAGAACAAACAAAAGGCCAGTAAAGTCTGAAAAATTTCAACTCACAACATGCATGCTTGTTCCAGGTCAGTGACTCACTAGTTTAGGTAGAAACCGTAAGACAGCCCCAGAGTCTGCACCTTAGATACAAATCAACAATGTAAAAGTGTAAGCTCGGAATTTATTGCAAAACACGTCACCTTTTTGGTGTTCCTGTCATACCTGTGGTGTCATTTTAATGCTTCAAGTAAGATACCAAAGAGTGCAGCAATATTCTGGATTTCTGCATGTTACTGAATGTTGCAGATTAGTTGTGCAGCACCCTGGGTTCCAGTTCATGAGAGTCAGTCGCTTGCCTGGAGTGGCATCATTTTGGCTGTAAGTGTATAATGGTAGAACATAAAGTACCAATTTCTACTGAGCAGTGCTGAATGATCTCTGAACCAAATTTAAATTTCAACGCTGCTCGAAAGAAATCAATATTTAATATTCTCTACCATTATACACTTGTATATTTTAGGGTTTGACAAGGGCAGCAGCATAAGGGTTTCATGCTTAACAAATCCAAGCACCTTTTGGAGTGGGTGAAATATAATTTGTGTTGAACAAGTCAACAAAAGCAGCAGGACTGGCTGCAATGCAAGATTCGCTCATCCACACATCCACATGGATGGAGGAATCTGTGAGAGCTTTTTCATTCAGCCTTCAGATTGCGTGCAAATAAAATATATATGTATGGTCAGCTTTAGCATCTCTTCGTTATAATGGCACTATACAAATAATGCCTTCACCTTTCCTTCCTTTTAACAGCACTGTCCAAATAATACAACTGCTTTTCCTCGCAATAACAGCAATGTTCAAATAATGCCTCCACCTACTCTCCCCTTAACAGCAATATTCTAATAACCACTAGAAACTGTGGGGCCCCTGGATACAATGCATAGGGAGGAGTCAAAGTGATGTCATCATGCATGGAGGAGGAGGTAGAATGCACATTTGGAGACACCTATGCTCAGTGCTATGATCAGAGGCAGGGTTACAGGGATATACAATCTTAGTGCCCAAGCCAAGGTGCACTGTACAATGTGAGTGGTTTTAACTATATTTTTATAAATTAATATGTGATACAAAGCACTGTGTAATATATGTGAGGAACAAAATGGTAATCTCTCTAAGGAGTCAATAAGTGGACTCTAACACCTATTGTAAACAAGAGTGCATTAAGACCTTCTTACTTTTAAGATGTCCAACCAAGAAGCTATGCACAATATCTTGGTGTTTTAAGCACAAAGGTATCTGAGCAATGGGATCATACAAAATGTATCACAGAAGGTTGGAGGCACTGAAGATGGATTCATGTGCATTGGTGGTTTATTATACACCGTGGCACAATTTATACTGACTGTGTGTTATAGTGGACTATAACAGTGTGGCAAAAGGAACACTACAGCACTTTAAGCTTAAGCATTCACTTAGTTTATTCAGAGAATTAAATTGCTTATTGTTGTAATTATTTATCCTGGGTTTGATGATTGTTTATTTAGAAATGTAGAATTTTGTTTTAATGCCATATATTATGTAAATAATGTCCCACTAATGCCTTTGCCTGTCCTCCCTATAGTAGCAACATCCACATACTGCCTCCACCGTTCTTTTTTTATAAACTGTACAATCCAAATGTCCCTGCACCTCCTCCTTATAGCAGTACTGTCCACATAATGCACCAGATCCTTCTCCCTTTTGTAGCATTGTCCAGATAAGAAGTACATAGGCCCCTTAGGATTATGTCGCCTTCTGACAATGCTGTTCTGCTGATGATTTTGCTTTAGTACTTTGAGTCCATTTGCCTGAAACATCAGAGCATCCTCAGTGCCATAATCAACTTTATCAATGTTTCATGGAAATACATATAAAACTGTTGAAGAGTTTCAGAAGGTCAGGCATTAATCATGGCGGTACGCCCAAGGATTCAATGGATCCTCGATATGATATGCAAGAGTCTTGCTGTCTGTGTGATGGATGAAGTTACTTTACTATACACTCTGGACAGTGGACTACTGATCCGACATTCTGCTGTAATATGCTGCTTTGTTATAGCTGACAATTGTGCACAGCCAGGGAACCAGTATTTTCAGAAAAGGGCCAGAAATTACTCCAAATTCTTTTTGTGACATGTATGTTTTAAATTGCAGGGACAGTATGAAGCCCTGCTGATCTATATTTGTGGAACTAAATTGTTTGCAAACAAAGTTGGAGAAAAGGGATGAGGACAGAATTTGAATAAGGCAGATAGAGGTTTAATTTCATTCTATTTCAGTAGAGTTTATAGAAATTCAGTGCATGTTTTCCCTACATTAATAAAGCTTCCGATACATGGCTTCTTTCTGCCTGTCTCAACACCATCTCAATCAGTACGCTTTATTTTATAATTCCACAGAGACCTTTCTTTGCTGGAGACATTGGTTCTCAGAATTTCCACCTCATTTCCATAGATCTTTGATTTCTCTCGCAGTTCTGCTGCCCGTTGAGTCGCTGTCTGAATAAGACTGACACACTTATTCCTTTCATTGCGTATAATATCGTACATCTTTGCAAACTCCTTCAATCTGTAAGTCAGAAATTTATGGAATCAGATAAATATATGCAAGATACTTCAGCACAGATTGTTGTTATTATTTATTATAGATTATTGCACCTAAAGAAAACTGGAGTTGTGATAAGACCAAGTGTAAATTGTGATAAAATCAAGTAGAGTTCCCTGAAGTTGTATCACAGCTTCTGTTCTATTCAGAACTTATCAGTAGCCCCCATCAGGTTCTGGAGTGCTATTATATTTTATTAATTTAAATAACATTTATCCATCAATTCACCTAAAATATCAATTTTCCTTTTTAAAACAAATTATTTCAGTTAGTCTGAGATTTGAGGGACCTTTAGTAGAAATAAATCAATAGAAGTAGGTATTTGTTACTAAGCCAAGGCCTCTAGAGTACTAGATTGCACTAGCCGAAGTATTATCAGGGTGCTTTAAAGCTGAATTCAATGCAACACCTATCTACTCTTAAACTGTTTAAGAGTAGATAGGTTGTGCCTGAAATTCCACTTTATTGTGCCTATATTTTGACTTGCCTGGTTCCTTCCACCCTTCCCTCGTCAATGCGCTAATGACATTTTTAGATAAAACCTTACTATTTACATTAATCAAATCAACAAAAAAAGTGTGCTGCAGTTGCAATTTGATATACATGAATAAATGTGATCATGATAGAAAAGCTAATTAATAAATAAAAATTCATAATATAATATAATTCATAATATGCAATCAGTGCAAAGATTAAGGTGCAAAATATTCAATTAATGATTTATACAAATAAAACTTCATAATGTGCAATTTCATTTAATAATCTGTGCAAGGGTTAAAAAAAAAAAAAGAGAGATTATTGAATTGCATTTCTGTCCTTTACTCATATACAGTTGTGGCCAAAATTATTCAACCCCCAATGCTGTAAAGGGGTTTTAGGGACTATAGTGTACATTTGGAATTGTATTCAGAATCAAATCCTACAAGGACGTTGTAACTACCCAAATGCAACTAAAATGACATCAATTGTTTATGTAATACAGTAGTAAATGGTTCTTATGTGGTTTCTTCATTGCCACAATTATTCAACCCCTTAAAGACTACCACTCTGAAGAACAGAGGTTCATACAGGTGCTTTCCATCAGGTATTGAAAACACCTGTGGATGTCACCGAGCAGCAATCAAGCATAATAAGCACCAATTAGGCAGCTTTAAAATGACTGTGATACTCAGCTCCTTCTAGACATTTACTGGTGTGGTTACAAACATGGTGAAGGCAAGAGAATGGTCCAGGAAGACAAGAGAAGAGGTGATTTCTCTTCACAGGAAGGGCAATGGCTATAAGAAGATTGCAAAGATGTTAAACATACCAAGAGACACCTTAGGAAGCATCATTCGCAAATTCAAGGCAAAGGGCACTGTTGAAACGCTACCTGGTCGTGGCAGAAAGAAGATGCTGACTTCGACTGCTGTGCGCTACCTGAAGCGTAGAGTGGAGAGAAGTCCCCGTGTGACTGCTGAGGAACTGAGAAAAGATTTGTCAGATGTGGGTACAGAAGTTTCAGCCCAGACAATAAGACGCACACTGCGTAATGAAGGCCTCCGTGCCAGAACTCCCAGGCGTACCCCCTTGCTGTCTCCAAAGAATAAGAAGAGTCGACTGCAGTATGCCAAAAGCCATGTGGACAAACCACAAAAGTTGTGGGATAGTGTTCTGTGGACTGATGAAACAAAATTAGAACTGTTTGGGCCCATGGATCAACGCTATGTTTGGAGGAGGAAGAACAAGGCCTATGATGAAAAGAACACCTTGCCTACTGTGAAGCATGGTGGAGGGTCAATCATGCTTTGGGGCTGTTTTGCTTCTGCAGGTACAGGGAAGCTTCAGCGTGTGCAAGGTACCATGAATTCTCTTCAGTACCAGGAGATATTGGATGGAAACGTGATGCAGTCCGTCACACACCTGAGGCTTGGGAGACGTTGGACCTTTCAACAGGACAATGATCCCCAAGCATACCTCCAAGTCCACTAGAGCATGGTTGCAGAGGAAAGGCTGGAACATTTTGGAGTGGCCATCGCAGTCACCAGACTTAAATCCGATTGAGAACCTCTGGTGGGACTTAAAGAAAGCAGTTGCAGTGCGCAAGCCTAAGAATGTGACTGAACTGGAGGCCTTTGCCCATGAAGAATGGGCGAAGATACCCGTAGATCGCTGCAAGACACTTGTGTCAAGCTATGCTTCACGTTTAAAAGCTGTTATAACTGTAAAAGGATGCTGTACTAAGTACTAAGATTGAATGTCACTTGGGGGTTGAATAAAACTGATAATGCTGTGAGCACAGAAAAGACATTTGTGGTTATTTCATTATAACTGTTATGTTATATTTGTCTGACCTACAAGTGCCTCTTTAATGTAAATGTAAGCAAGATGACTGAATGATCAAAAGCAATGTCAAACTGGCCAAAACACTCAATTTCAGTGGGGGTTGAATAATTTTGGCCACAACTGTATATACACACACCAAACATGATGAGGCGAAAAGAAGTTTAACGGACTCCCGCCCGCCATATAAACAAATGACAGGTGCAAGGCGATTCTCTCATTCTAGGAGGACGTCATATGATGTGCTCCCACTCTAACCGTGCGTGCAGTGGTGCACTTGTAAGCCGTGTACCGGGGTGGGCTCCCCAGGATACAGTTAAGTCACGAACGAGGAAAGCAACCCCAACACCAGTTTTTGCCACAACAGAATTTTCACTTAGATGTGGCAAATAAACACAACCACAAATGCTGGAAATATACAATAAATTTACATACACCCAGCCCAAAAGCTGAGACCCTTGTGCTGCACAGCACGGCGCCTTCTGATGGATGAAGGTAGAAAGTGAAGTAATTTACCTACTGGTGGGCACAACTAAGCTGCCACACCTTACCTGTTATTACCCTAAAAGAGCAGGAATCATGGGTGTATGGTATGGGCTAGCCTGCGGTGCAGCACAACCGCTTACAATCTTACACAAATCTACAGTATTCCCTCCCCCATAACTGGTCCTGTAGCACGTGCCTGAGTATTCCAGTCTGGCTTGAGTTTGTAGGGTTTTATCAGCTCTCCAATGTGAAATGTCACTTTAAGTTGTGGAGTCCTTCCAATGATCAGTAACAACACTTGTGGCCTGACACAAACAGAGACCCTAACTAACTAACTATAGGCCTGGACTCAGTCTCAAGGCGCCAACACTGAAATGAGGTGCGTGCACGATCTTACCGACCTGGGTCTGCTTTGCATCCGCTGGTGACTCTGAACAGAACAAATGTCTCTCCAACAAGCATGCGGTCTCGCCGTCTATGTTGCTTAGTTCCTCTGCTCTCATCAGCATTCCTGGCAGCAATCTCATCAGCTTCCTGGCAGCAATCTCATCAGCTTCACTTAGCTGCAGCTCTGGTTACGGAGGGACGCTTTCACACCTGGATGTCATCAGATTCTCAGCTCACAGGGTCCCTTATTCACCATGCTCCAAAACATGGCTTCACTCTCTCCTTCCTGTTCTCTCCAACTCTGTGTGCCAAACCCCACCTCTTCATGAATATACAAATATCTATGCAGTCTGAGGCTGTGTTAGAAAAACAGTGACATCTTGTGGCTAAACCACAGAATGTCAGTCAAAGCATTAATTTACTTCCACACAAACAGTGTTCAAACAATGAGAGCTGTTTCCCCATCTCAAACACTGAGTTCCTGGGACACAGCGGATCAGCGGAAAGAGCAGATGACTTTGGCTCTGTCATGTGATCAGTTGTGTCTAATCACAGCTGATTGCATGTAAATAAGGAAATGCTGGATATCGGCATTTCTCTCCTCACAAGCTGTCACGCTGACAGCTTGTGAGGAGAGCCGGTAATTGGTATTCCTCAGAGGGGACATCTACACTGATCATCAGGGCACTGATGATCAGTGTAGCTCATCAGTGCCACCTGTCAGTAAACAACAATGCCACATATCAGTGCAGTCCACTACACATCAATGCCACATATCAGTGCCCATCTGAGCTGCCTCTCAGTGCCAGTCAGTGCCACCTATCAGTGACGGTCAGTGATGTCTGTGAATTCCCACCAGTGATGCCTGTCAATGCCCATCAGTGCCACCTACAAGTGCCTCCTCATCAGTGCCCATCACTGCAGCCTCATTAGCGTACATCAGTGAAGGAGAAAAATTACTCATTTACAAAACGTTATAACAGAAACTAAGAAAAAAACTTCTTTTTTTCAAAATTTTCAGTTTCGGTTATCAAAAAAATAAAAAAACCCAGTGGTGATTAAATACCACCAAAAGAAAGCTCTATCTGTCTAAAAAAAAAAATGATAAAAATGTATTATGGGTACAGTGTTGCATGACCGCGCAACTGTCATTCAAAGTGCGACAGCGCTGAAAGCTGAAAAGCTGAAAATTGGCCTGGGTAGGAAGGGGGTGAAAGTGTCCGGTAGGCAAGTGGTTAATAGAATAAAATAAAACTTATAAATAGTCCAAAGTCACTGAAAAGTTCCCAAAAATAGATAGCTTCTGGGTGAAGTAAACACAAACTTAGTGCAACAGGAAGAGAAGGTGCTACAGGACCAGTCCACCAAAAGGTTAAATAGGCTTCGTACCATGACATTAGATCCCGCAAAGACATCATATAGCGCCTTTATGTGCCGCAGCACCAAATACTCTGGCCATGGAAATCCATCTTTTAAATCCTGGATGAATGCGCTCAGCAAAGAAGAGTTAAAACATAGAAGGGACAACTATAGTGTAGTAAGATCAAAAACCTCTTCTTTTTATTAAGAAATAACACTTGCAGTGTATGTAGAGACAGCCGCCTAATAGAGAGTGTGCACTGCCGGATCTTCCACCAGCATGTGCAGTGATGTCACGTGTTCAACCCCGTCCAATGTGTTTCTCTGTAACAAGCACTTCAGGGGATTTGCACTGATCAGAATGTTTTGAGAGTGGGGGGGGGACACAGTAGGAGGGATTCCCGCATCCCTATTGAATGTATGGATTGAATGTATGGAATTGGGTCAGTTTTTTTTTTTTTTTTTTTTGCTGGCTGGACAAAAAAATCTGGCCCATGTATGGCAGGCTTTAGGCTTGAGTTCAGCTGTAATTACATGAAATATTATATTCTTATCTCATCTGTGTTGTATTATGTGCGGCCTTTACTTTTCTGCTAGCTATTTTATTAATGCGGTGGTAGAGCCTTCATTCGGATATTACATTAGGCCAAAAGGAAATTAACTACACCTGATAAGCTTCCATAAATGAACAACTTTTGTTGTCCGTTTCTATGTTCTATTGGTGAACCAATCCATCTTGGGAACAAAAAAAAGTTCATTTTTGTTTTCAGGTAGCAAGAAATCAGAATGTAAAAAATTGGTCAGTTTTCTAGTGCACTTTGATGGTTGTAATGGGCTAATTCTTCTACTTTTATACATGATACAATGGGGTTAGTTTACTTAATGCAAATAAGCTGTTCACTTTGCAAAGGGATTTCTCTTGGCTTAGTAATTATGGTGAAAATTCACTTTGCTAAGAAAACCCAATCATGTGCAAGGAAAAAAAAAGTCTTTTTATTATTTATCACAGGCTATATAGTGCTGTCAATTTACATGGTGCTTTACATATTTATTACACATTCACATCAGTCCCTGTCCTCAAGTAGCTTACAATCCAAGTGCCCTTACTCACATTCATACATACTAGGGCCAATTTTAGACAAGAACCAATTAATCAACCAGCATGTCTTTGGAGTGTGGAAGGAAACTGGAACACCCCCGGAGGAAACCCAAAAAAGGCACAGGGTGAACATGCATACTCTGTGCAGGTATTGTCCTTGTTGGAACTCAAACCAACAACCCTAGTGCTGCTAGGCTTAAGAGCTAACTTCTTGGCCACTATGCTTGCAGATTATTGAAAGATAGAATTCCTTTGCAAAGTGAACAGCCTATTTGCCTTTAGTAAATCAATCTCTTTAAGTTATGTTGTAGGAAAGCTGGCAATGGAGATTTTGGACCATATTACCTTGTCTGAACTTCTTGGTTTTTCTTCTTGTGCTCTCCAATAAGCAGATCCCGCCCTTTAATGTCTTGCACAACTTGTCGATATCTTTGCTGTTATATACAGGTATAGTGGTTTGTTAATGAGAACATTGCAATTCTGACTGTTAAACATACATTGCCACTGAATAAAACAAACCCTAAATCTTTGAACCAGTGTCATGCAACCTGAGCTCATTGTTGTAAAATATATTTTGTGTAACAACACACATGTGCATGGTAGTTATTGGGGCTATTGGAACCACCAAATTATTTATGGCCCTCAGATCTTGTACAAACCTGTAAGAGCCATCCGGCTTCCTAACAGTAGCCAATCAGCTTCTCACCTCTGCTTGTTCAGTTAAGCTTTGAACAAAACAACTGGAAGCTGATTGGTCTCTATGCATCGATGCACCAGATTATGCACTCTCCAATTTGAGTAAATCAACCCTATAATGTTTATGACCACACATGTGACCTAGTTCTTAATAACTGAAGCTATTAATGACAACTCTTTACACAAAATGTAATGCTTCTTAAGTGGAACTACACATCATCTGAACAAACCAAAAATGCTATTTAATTAATTGTTATTATTCAAAGCAAACTCAAACATCCAATTATGTTCCCATGCTTTATTTTGCTGAGACATTCTTTTGAAACACACCCCTGGTATTGAGTAGGGGCAGATGACTAATGTAGCATTTACTTCCTGGAATCCATCTGCCCTTAGCTCAGGCATTGGCTGAGCTGAGAACCCTCCCTCCCCTCATTAGGGCTCCTGTGATGTATGACATCATTTGCCTAGGCATGGAAGCTAGGAAGTAACCAAAGAAATGTAGTAAAAGAGTTTAAAATATGTACAGTGGATATAAAAAGTCGACATACCCCCGTTAAAATGTCAGGTTTCTGTGATGTAAAAAAATTAGACAAAAATAAATAATTTCAAAACTTTTTCCACCTTTTTAATGTGACCTATAAACTGTACAACTCAGTTGAAAAACAAACTGAAATCTTTTAGGGGAGGGAAGTAACCATAAAAAACTAAAATATTTTGGTTGCATAAGTGTGCACACCTTCTTATAAATGGGGATGTAGCTGTGTTAAGAATTAAGCAATCACATTCAAAATCATGTTAAATAGAAGTCAGAACACACCTGCCATGATTTAAAGTGCCTCTGATGAACCCCAAATAAAGTTCAGCTGTTCCAGTAGGTCTTTCCTGACATTTTCTTAGTTGCATCCTACAGCAAAAGCCTTCAGAGGGATCTCATTGTTAAAAGGTATCAGTCAGGAGAAGGGTACAAAAGAATTTCCAAGGCATTAGATATACCATGGAACACAGTGAAGACAGTCATCATCAAGTGGAGAAAATCTGGTTCAACAGTGACATTACCAAGAACTGGACATCCCTCCAAAATTGATGAAAAGACGAGAAGAAAACTGGTCTGGGAGGCTGCCAAGAGGCCTACAGAAACATTAAAGGAGCTGCAGGAATATCTGGCTGTGTAGTACATGTGACAACAATATCCCGTATTCTTCATATGTCTGGGCTATGGGGTAGAGTGGCAAGATGGAGGCCTTTTCTTACAAAGAAAAAAATCCAAGCCTGGCTAAATTTTGCAAAAACACATCTGAAGTCTCCCAAAAGCATGTGAAAAATGTGTTCTGGTCTGATGAAACCAAGGTTGAACTTTTTGGCCATAATTCCAAAAGATATATGTTTGGCGCAAAAACAACACTGCACATCACCAAAAGAACACCATACCCACAGTAAAGAATGGTGGCAGAATCATGCTTTGGGGCTGTTTTTCTTCATCTGGAACTGGGGCCTTAGTCAAGGTAGAGGGAATTATAAACAGTTCCAAATACCGGTCAATATTGGCACAAAACCTTCAGGCTTCTGCTAGAAAGCTGAACATGAAGAGGAACTTCATCTTTCAGTATGACAACGACCCAAAGCATACATTCAAATCAACAAAGGAATGGCTTCACCAGAAGAAGAGTAAAGTTTTGAAATAGCCCAGCCAGAGCCCAGACCTGAATCTAATCGAAAATTTGTGGAGTGGTCTGAAGAGGGCTGTGCACAGGAGATGCCCTCACAATCTGACAGATTTGGAGTGTTTTTGCAAGGAAGAGTGGTGAAATATTGCCAAGTCAAGATGTGCCATGCTGATCGACTCATACCCAAAAAGACCGAGTGCTTAATAAAATCACCAAAATATTAGTTTAAGGGTGTGCACACTTATGCAACCATATTATTTTAATTTTTACTTCCCTCCACCTAAAAGATTTCAGTTTGTTGTTCAACTGAGTTGTACAGTTTATAAGTTACATTAAAGGTGGAAAAAAATTCTGAAGTTATTCCTTTGTCTTATTTTTTTACCTGACATTTTAACAGGGGTGTGTAGACTTTCTATATCCACTGTAAATATGATATACTTTCCTTTCTATTTACTAATGCTAGCAGTATAAGGATTAAAAATAGTCAATATTAATTGAGAGAGTGAAGTTCCACTTTAATATTGTGGGCACAGGTATATTGTATTTCCTAAACCAAGGCAAACATTGTAATCTGTTTTTAATATTTAAAAACTTAAGCAGCTCTGCCCTTAGACATATTAAAAATGTTTTTGCATAGATGTGAGTTCTTCTTTAATTTGATCTGTCAGTATCACAATGGGCTGAAACAATTTCCACCATTAGAATGTCAGCATTACAATGCCTCCACATGTCTTTAGAAGTCTAGAATACTCACATTCTTCCAGGTCACTATGGGCTCTTATATTCAAAATTTCAGCATCTACTGGTATTGTAGTGACTTGCCCTGCCCCCTTCAACACCATCCTATTGAGCCATCACTTTACTAGACAGCCTTACTGGCCAGTAGGAAGTTGTGAGAGGTGTGAACAGACAAGTCAATTCGCAACACTACCAGGAAATTTGGACATTTCAGTACTGAAGGTTTTGGGGCACACAGGTTCTCCAGAAGACATCTAAATGTTTGTGTAGGCATAACTAGGTGCCTTTGTTTTAGTGTGGCTGCCTGTTTACAATGCCTTGGAAAAGTATTCATACCTTTTGAAATTTTCCACATTTTGTCATGTTACAACCAAAAACGTAAATGTATTTTATTGGAATTTTATGTGATAAACCAACACAAAGTGGCACATAATTGTGAAGTGGAAGGAAAATGATTAATGGTTTTCAAAAATTTTTACAAATATCGAGTGTGGCGTGCATTTGTATTCAGCCCCCTTTACTCTGATACCTCTAACTAAAATCTAGTGGCACCAATTGTCTTCAGAAGTTACCTAATTAGTAAATAAAGTCCACCTGTGTGTAATTTAATCTCAGTATAAATACAGCTGTTCTGTGAAGCCCTCAGAGGTTTGTTAGAGAACATTAGTGAACAAACAGCATCATGAAAGCCAAGGAACACACCAGACAGGTCAGGGATAAAGTTGTGAAGAAGTTTAAAGCAGGGTTAGGTTATAAAAATATTCAAAACTTTAAACATCTCATAGAGCACTGTTCAATCCATCATTTGAAAATGGAAAGCATATGGCACAACTGAAAACCTACCAAGACATGGCTATCTACCTAAACTTACAGGCCGGGCAAGGAAAGCATTAATCAGAGAAGCAGCCAAGAGGCCCATGCTAACTGTAGAGGAGCTGCAGAGATCCACAGCTCAGGCGGGAGAATCTCGCAACAGGACAACTATTAGTTGTGCACTCCACAAATCTGGCCTTTATGGAAGAGTGGCAAGGAGAAAGACATTGTTGAAAGGAAGCCATAAGAAGTCCCGTTTGCAGTTTGAGAAGCCATGTGTGGGACACATCACACATGTGGAAGAAGGTGCTCTGGTCAGATGAGACCAAAAATTGATTTTTTTGGCCTAAAAAGCAAAACGCTATGTGTAGCGGAAAACTAACACTGCACATCACCCTGAACACAGCATCCCCACCGTGAAACATGGTGGTGGCAGCATCATGTTGTGGGGATGATTTTCTTCAGCAGGGACAGGGAAGCTGGTCAGAATTGATGGGAAGATAGATGGAGCCAAATACAGGGCAATCTTAGAAGAAAACCTGTTAGTCTGCAAAAGATTTGAGATTGGGGCGGAGGTTCACCTTCCAGCAGGACAACAATCCTAAACATACAGCCAGAACTACAATGGAATGGTTTAGGTAAAAGCCTATTCATGTGTTAGAATGGCCCAGTCAAAGTCTAGACCTAAATCTAATTCAGAATCTGTGGCAAGACTTGAAAACTGCTGTTCACAGATGCTCTCCATCCAATCTGACAGAGCTTGAGCTATTTTGAATAGAAGAATGGGCAGGAATTTCACTCTCTAGATGTGCAAAGCTGATAGAGACATCCCCAAAAAGACCTGCAGTTGTAATTGCAGTGAAAGGTGGTTCTACAAAGTATTTAAATACAAATGCACGCCACACTTTTATATATTTGCATCACATACAATCCCAATAAAATACATTTAAGTTTGTGGTTATAACATGACAAAATGTGGAAAATTTCTAGTGGTATGACTACTTTTTCAAGGCACTGTAGAATCATCATGATATTGAAAGTTTTACTTTACTTTTAAAATAATTGCACATAAGCATTGTACTGAGTTTGTCATGTGATGCACAGTTGTGTAAAACCAAACTTGCAGTTATATTAACAATTTAAAATACTTACAACATCAAATTACAACACATTAACAATCCAGGTTCCTCATACACAAAAGGAACTGTGAAGCAATTTTCTACAAATAATTTCTAAAGAAAATGATTTATACAATGCTAGCACTGCAAGTTTGAGTAAAAAAAATGTGCATACCAGACACATAATTATGTTTTGTGGGGAAATTGTTAGGTACTATTTCCCCAGAATCCCCAGTAGCTTGGCAACACATACTGCCCACACAAACTGGTAGAATTATGTTTTCCTTACGGTTCAAGGCTTTGGACATCTTTTTATGTCCTTTTCCATCTTTATAAAGTTCCATTACCTTGTTACGCAGGACTTTTGACAATTCTTTTCTGATCCCCATGGCTCAGCATCTACCCTAGTCAATGCTTCCACGTAAGAGCTAACAAATTCATTGACTATTTATACACTGACACAAATTGCAATTTAAAAAGCCACAGATGTGGGACATTAACCTCTAATTGGCATTTTAACCCATGTGTGTGTCACCTTGTGTGTCTGTACCAAGGCCAAACATTCCAGGGTATGTAAACTTTTCATCATGGCCATTTGGGGGATTTTGTTATCATTATGATTTAAAAAGGAGCCAAACAACTATTTGATAATAAATGGCTTCATATGATCATCATCGTTCAATAAAAGAGCATTTTTTGGCATGATCAGTCATATTTTCAATATCAATGCCAACATTTCACAATTTCTGCCAGGGTATGCAAACTTCTGAGCCCAACTGTATACTGTACATTTAGCATACCTATAAAATATCCCAGTGTTGTATTGAAAAATGAGTATAGAAGACCATAGTTATGCTTATAACATGCATTCAGAGTTTGCTTTCTAGTGCCCTTGGCAAATGGGACTATTTCTAAATTAGACATATTTTTTTTTTTTTACTAGATATTTTTACTACATGTTGTTTCAGACACCCCCCCCCCCCCAACCTCAGACATAAACTAATTAGTAGGAAACTTCCTTCTGATTATGATGTCACAAATAATGGAAGAAAACCCCTGCAACAGAAAATGCTGCAAACTGTGCAACCAAATCAATCCATCAAAAAGTGTCACATACTCAAAAGGGATCATACAGCTGCACCTCCAGTAATGTTGTGTACCTTATCCAGTGCATAAAATGTAGCAAAGGATCTTACGTTGGCGAAACAGGACAGAAGTTGTGAACAAGGATGAATTTGCACAGCAATACCATCAAGGAACATAAAAAAGATGACTTCTGCATACCTGTGGGACACCATTTCTCACAACTGGAGAACACTATGGAAGACCTCAGTATCTTAGTTCTTAAAGGAATTTCAAAATTATTCAGGAAAGGAAAACTTTTGAACTAAGAATGATATTTCTATTTGATACAAAAGATAACAGCCTTAATTTAGACATGAGATTTCTCACTCATTATCCTACGGTTTTACAACATTCTCTGTGACTGTCATCCCAAACCCCCCCCCCCCCCCCTCCCCCCCAGTTTTTACTTTTGCTCTGTCTTATCTCTAGTCTAATCCTAGTTTTATAAATGCTGTGTACATTAATTTGTGTGTTTTTTCTTTTCTTTTTTTTCCCTCAGAGATTTGTTTCTTTTAACATTCTGCTAAAACTTTGTGTAATACTGCTTAGACCTTGAAGGGGACATACCCTGAAAGCTTGCAAATAAAAAAAAAAAAAAAAAAAAAAAGTATCACGGAGAGTACTCAATTGTTTCTGTCACATGTTTTTTTTTAAAAAGCAAAGAGGCACACCTACGAGGCCATTGAATATGTCAGATTAGACACTACTAAATTTAATATGCTAGTTATGCCTTGTGCAAAGACCATATGCTTCATTTGAGGTCAGTTTATATCTGGAAGCCATATTACAAATAACTAAAAGATAGTAGATGTGGATGACAGCCTATGTGGTCATCATAATAATCATAGCAGCCTTCTTATTACTGTCTGTGTGCCTATTGGGAATATTTTCCCTGACTTCTAATCTGAACAGAAAGTCAGTGAAAGAGTACATAGGCAGCTGTAAATACCTGACAATGATTCTAACTCTTCTAATTTTTACACACCCGGAAAAAACCTTTGTTAGATTTCTCCTTTAATTTATATACAGATTGTAGAAAAGGCACAGTTTTGGCTAATGTAATGCAATATATCTTTGTCTTAATACAATGCCAGATTTGAATGGTGACATTGTAAATTTTGTCAAAGAAGAATTTAAACTTGTAAGTTGATTCAATAATATAGTGAAGGAAAATCTCGAAGTATAAACTGCTGTACCTACAAAAACCAAAATCCACATCTGATTTCAATATGAAGAGCACGCAATGGTTGCCATAAGTAACCTGCTTTATACTAAGAGCTTTTCTTCATACAACACTTTATTGAAGGGAGTACGGTAATTGGTGTCCAAATTTCAGAATATAGAAATAATGTAACAAAAAATCATTTACCTGAGCTCTTACAAAATCTCTTGACTTTTGCTCCCTCTCATCACCTTTGATTTGGGCCAAACGTGTTAAGTTGACCAGCTCCTCCCGGCATTCAGCTTGTTGCTTGACAAGCCGTTCTTCCTCAGTAATACACTGCATTAGTGCATGCGACTCCAACTCTGTTAGTGCTTGCTGTAGTAAAAAATGTCAATTTTATTTTCTTGGCACTAGTAATATCGTTTAGGCTACTGACTACAATAATAGACATTTACAGACATAGTTGGAGAATTTTGATTTTTTTGGGGAGGAAATAAGTTGTGAGAAAGTGGGAAAAAAAACTTACTGGATGGGGTTAGTTTATGCAAAGCCAAAACTTTTTTAGTCAAATTGGGTAAGCAAATATTTTAGGCTCGATCAGGTCTTTTTTTTTTTTTTTGCTGCTGTGTTCTTCTGGGAGGAGTACCCATCTGTCCTGAAATGAGGAAATGTCTCCAAACACAACAGAGTTCCAGTCTTAAATTCTTACTCTATCTTTACACCTGTAACACGTAACATTGTTGTGCCCCTCGCCACCCTTAAATAACCAACTTAGTGACAGGATTGAAATCGACACAGCTGTGCAGGGCTCTGCTCGACAACAGCCATGTCATTCATTCACAGAGATCTGTGAGTGAATGAACTACAAGCCCTATCTGGTACAGTGGCAGACAGACTTAGTGTTACTAAACCCACAACAGTAAAATCAGTCTGTATATGCAGTAAAGCATGCTTGTTATACTCATTGTGGAACCTAAGGGGCTAATCCTCTGCATTGTGTAAAAAGGCTGTTGATCCTTTCTTCTCTGCCCCTCTTCTTGTTGAAATGACCATGTGATACAGAGTGAACCTGTGGTCACATGCACATGCTCAGTTTGGTGTGTATTGGTATAGAGGTTGTTTTTTTTTTTTTCTTGGGAGGGTGCATGTGATCAGCACAGGGCCAATCAGCACTGTCCAGACAGAGGGTCAGAGGTTTCACATCCTCCTGCAGCAGAAGGAAAACTCCAACAAGCTTTAACGCTCTGCTGAAGTCACAAGACTGCTCTAACTGCTGATGCGTACAGGTACTTAGCAGTGTATATTTACTAAAATAATTGCATTTCCATGTTGTGTGGACTGTGGGAGACCAAATATAGTGAATGCAGGGTCCTGGGTTTAGTATCACTTTAATGTTCTCAATCAAAAAAAATAAGTAGTGATCACCACACTACTGTTGATAATTCCTCCATCTCAGTAATTGAAAGCCTGTACCTAGGGAGCTGGAAGAAGAGTTTGCAGGAGTCTGGCGTTACACCCAAGATCCACTGATCATGGGTACAGTGTTTTACATGTTTCTGTGAAAAAAAATAATTCACATTTTTCCATGCAAATATATGCGCATTTATTATTTGTTTTTAAAGGTGGGCTTTGATTTTAGGCTGGCCATACATGACTAAAACAGTGGCCGATCCCTGCTGTTTAACGTGGATGGAGGAATCTATTAGAAAAGCAACCCCTATGTGTGTGTATGGTTAGCCTTAGGACACTTTCACACGGGCGATCCGATCAGGTCCGCCTGTTAGTTTTTCAGGCACACCTGATCGGATGGTTCATGTATGCTTATGGATTGCCTATGTCCCATTCGATCCAATCCTCTAAAAAATAAAATTAAATAAAAAATTAAGAAAAAAACCCAAAGGGGATCCATCCCCTCCGTCTAGGTGGACCAGATCGGAGGGCAGTCGGGTGTAAATAGACAGCCGGTCTGTTTATACCTAACTTCCCATAGAGCAGAGTGGGCTGTGTCCATGTCTGCTCTGCAAAAAGTAAGCAGACATGGACCTGTCAACCGCCTGTTCTGCTCTGATCAGCAGACAGAACCCCTGATGAGCAGTGCAGATTCTACCCCATGGGAAAGGGGACTTAGACAATTGTCAATGGATTTCTCTCGCTTTCTGCTCTGGTGTCAACCTAAGATCTTTTTTTTTTATTTCCCCTCACTTTGTGCCCCTGCTGGGGATATTCAACTTTCTGTTTGCAATGATGACTGTTGTCACTGAGGCATTAAAAACCTGACAAAAGATCCAATCCTTCACTAGTCTATCCAAAAATTTAAAAAAGGCCTTTCCATATATTTTAAAAAACAATAACAATCGTTGAGGGTCAGACCACAAAAAAAAACCACAAAGAGAGTTTAGTTGGTATATAATGCAATTAAACATCACAAATTATTTATATGTTCAGTATGTCCCTTTTATGTCTGCGATTTTGTGTGGCTCACTCAGTTTGCGGTTTGTTTTATCAGTATATTGCACATGCATTACCATTCACTCCTACATAAGGTGCATTTATAACCACATGTGCACAATGAAGAGGTTTAGGGTTGCAATGTTTTTTGGCTAAAAATAAACCTTTTTTTAACAGATAATTAGAATCTAATATTCTTATACAATGTAATTTGAAATACAGACCTAGCACAGGACAGATTCTTTTTTTTTTTTTTTTTTAAGTCAGCTGTTGTGTACATGAAATTGAAAATAATCAAAACCCAGTGCTACATCTTTTCTTTACATTTTAAACATAACTGATTCAAACGCAGTGAGCTAGGCATTTGTATGAATGTAAGCATTTTATTACTAAAAGCCGATCTGAAAGATCCACATTTCAGTACACCTGTGTGTTCATTAAAAATACTGAAATAGGTTTTAAATACTACCACAGTAATTCTTTATATTATCGTCTTGTAATCTCTGCACAGAAACCATGAGAGAGGAAGAGACAGAACATAGGACAGTTAAGCTCTATTGTATTGCATAGTGTTTTCAATCTAACACAGACAACTTTTCAGTAAGAGGACAGAGCACAGTGATGACCTCAACACTGTGCTGTGCTGCTACTCCTTTACTAGACACTCACAAGTTGGGGCAGGTCATAGCCAAAACTGTACTACAATTCGTATTGGGCATGATGTTCAAGTCGAACATAAGTTTGACTTGAACAACAGCCATTCGTGTGTTCGGTGAACATGGGAACGGTAAGGGCATTCAGCAGGCTGTTCGCCCACTGTGCCCCACAATGCACTGTGCCCTGACAATGCATTGTGATTGTCCAAAGCAATGCACCTGACCACAGGTCAGGTGCAATGCTTTGGACAATCATAGCGCATGATGACATCACAAGGGGGCGGGAGAACCCCACTCCCTTGACATCATCACAGTATTTAGAAACTCCCATCATCCCGATGCAACTGTCAGACGGTGGGAGCCAGCGTCGAGACCAGATAGTTTTTGTTTTTTTTTTTCTTTTTTCGGGTTGGCGTTGGGTTTACTTCAGGGGATGTTTTTTTTTATTTTTGTTTTTAATAAAGGACTTGTCAAAGACTGTCTACTGTCGTTTTTTACACTACACTTTTTTTTTTCTGTGAATAAGTAACAGTACCATGTACCCCATACTCATTCACATGGGGGGGGGGATCTTGTTGTTAAAAGGGGCTTCCAGATTCTGATAAGCCCTCCACCCGCAGACCCCCACAAGCCACGGTTGTGAGGAAGAGGCCCTTGTCTCCATCAACATGGGGACAAGGTGCACTCCCCCATGTTGAGGGCCTGTGGCCTGGTATGGTTCAGGGTGAGAGGGCTCGTCCTCTCCCTTTCCTGACCTGTCAAGTTGCATGTTTGGATAAGGGTCTGATATGGATTTTGGAGGGGACCCCCTATGCCATTTTTTTTTTAGTTTAATTTTGGCGTGGGAGCTTCCCTCAAAATCCATACCAGACCTGAAGGGATTGGTATGAATGACCCCACAAGTTTTATTTATTTATTTTTTTAATTTTGTAATTGCCGGGCAATGCCGTACTTATTTTTACATTCAGCTGTCAGCGGGGAACCCTGCTGACAGCTGAAACATGAAAGGATGTTTTCACTACTAAAATACAGCATGACTTAATATAACTCATGCGGTATTTTAGTAGTACTCAGATGCGGTAAGATATCGCTTAGTGAATTGTCCCCTCTGTTCAAAGTTCGCAGTCGAAGATTCATTAGGTTCGACTGTGAACCAAATGCTGGGGGGGGGGGGGGGGGGGGGGTTGGGGTGTTCAGCCCATCACAAACTACAATAGTTGCTGTGGGGATCTGATCCTCATGAGTGTGAATTATTTGGCCACATGCACACTGGATGTTTTTAACAATGCTCTTGTGACATCTGGCATTTTTTTTATTTGCCTCTAAAAGAAACCCATGGCTAGCGTATCCAAGAGCAGTGGCGTTTTGGCAGAAAAAATGCATGTGTAAACATGTCTAAACGCGTTTTAATCCCAGGAATGTTCAGTGCTTGAGCGTTTATTCATTTCAATGCCCAGAATAAATTATTATTGTGGCCAATGAAATGAATTACCGTGTCAAGTTTTTATTAAAAAAAACGCTCACCCCACTACAAATAAATTAAATCCCAATCAGTGGAAAACATATGACAAATGAACCAAAGTGCTATTAACGTTGAATATTAATCAAACATGACCTATATATTATCCACTGAATAAATCAACATAATTCATATATTAGAGAGTGTCCATAAATGAATCACAGTCCATCCACTGATTTCTCATCCACTCGTGTGCACATCAGTGGATGGATTGTGATTTATTTATGGACATTCTTAAATCTATGAATTATGTTGATTTATTCAGTGGATAATATTTAGGTCATGTTTGATTATTATTCAATGTTAATAGCACTTTGGTTTATTTGTGATATGTTTTCCACTGATTGGGTTTGAATTTAATTGTATTTGGGTGAGTGCCTTTTTTAAATAAAAACTTTGGACACAGAGTTATTCACACTGTAAAGTGCTCCTTCTTTTTTCTTTATTTTCATGTTTAAGTTTGGTGTGGCGCCCCATTTGATTTCACTTTTATGCAATGAAATGAATTAACAGCCTAGCGCTTGACACATCTAAACATGCCTAAACAAATCACACACACACTTTTATAAATGTCAAGTGTTTTTCTTCCAAAACACTGTTGTCAGGAGGAAAAGGTGCTAGGGAAGTGGCCAAGGCATTCGGTGTGCATGAGGCCTGTAACTCACAAAAACATTTGAAACTCAACACACACACACACATTTTACTAAAACTTGTGCGCACAGAATCTGTTGCAGCTGTGCATAGTAACCAATCAGCTTCTAGGTTTTATTGTTAAAGCCTAATTGAACAAGCTGAAGTTAGACGCTGATTGGTTACTATGCAAAGCTGCACCACATTCTGTGTGCACCAGTTTGGACAAAAAAGGAATTTGTTATATGAAAAATGCTGACCTGATGTGTAAAATTTCTTTTTAAAGTTTCAACCTCCTTGCGCAGTTCCTTCCTCTTTTCTACAAGTGAGCCGTCATCTTTTGGGAAATTGTCTATCTGTACAGGAAAAATGAAGTGAAAGTGATCTAATGTAGCATAGTTATTGATTAAAAGGAATATGTCTTAATTTGGTAAATATTTTCATAATACTTGCTTTTAAAATAAACCTTCCATTATTTCTTAATTTCTAATTGCTTGATCAGGTACAACCTTTGTAAATAAAATACAGGTAAAACAATTCCAGATGTACTTTTTTAATAAACTGCTCACATTTTATGAAAAATTGTGCACAAATTTACTCTTCTATTATCCTCTAGACTTGTGCACATCAACATGCAACAGGAATTCTACCAAAATTACTCTCCATTGAGATGAGGTTACAACACGCCCCAATCCTTTCAGTACTAGGTTCCTGAGTTGAATTTCCGTCATTGACATTATCTGCAATGTAACCTTCCGCCCTGTCTGCATATGGTGGTTGGCGGATCACAACAGGACAATGTCGGATTTGGGGGCCTATGATTATTTAAGCATAAGCCAGTGAAAAAGGTGGTTAAAAGCAAAACTACCCTGGGGCAAGAACTTGTGGGAGAGTGCGTGCTGCCTGAGATGCCCATTTTCAGAGTGCCAAGCGTGAAGGGTGCCACCTCACCCCTTTAACACCGAACACATATTAATTACTTCTCGTCTTCCCCCCTGCCCGCGCGCCCCCCCCCCCCCATCCTATCCATCACTACCAACAACACCACCATCAATCCCGCCCCGCAAGCCAAAGTCCTTGGCGTCATTCTGGACTCAAACCTCTCCTTCCAACCTCATGTCAAATCACTTACAAACACATGCAGGCTCCACCTTTGCAACATCGCCAAAATGCACACCTTCCTTACCCCAGACACCACTAAAATACTCGTACACTCCCTGATTATCTCACGCCTCGTCTACTGCAACTCCGTCCTCACCGGCCTACCCCAGTGCAGGCTCTCCCCGCTTCAGACCATCCTGAACTCAGCGGCTAGACTCATCCACCTCACCAACCGCTCCACCTCTGCCACCCCCCTCTGCCTATCCCTCCACTGGCTTCCTATCGTCCAACGCATCAAATTCAAACTACTCACTCTGACCTACAAAGCCATTCACAACACTGCCCCCAACTACCTCACCAACCTGATTCCCAGGTATCACCCCACCCGTACCCTTCGCTCTTCACAGGACCTCCTTCTATCTTGCCCCCTGGTCTCCTCCTCCCACGCACGTCTGCAAGACTTCTCCAGGTCCTCCCCCATCCTCTGGAACTCACTACCCCAATCCATCAGACTGTCACCTTCCCTCCTCACCTTCAGGCGCTCCCTGAAAACCCACCTCTTCAGGGAAGCCTACCCCACCCTCACCTAACTGCCGTTCTCCTTCATTCCTCCTACCACTCCATCCCCCACAGCCACTTCCTCCTGTACCACTACCCCCTCCCTCCTAGATTGTAAGCTAGAAAGAGTAGGGCCCTCGAACCCCTCGTGTGCTGTTTGTAGTTGCTGTACTGTTTCATGTATTGTTCCCCCTCTATTGTACAGCGCTGAGCAAACCCTTTGGCGCTATATAAACTCGATGTAATGTAATGTAATTACACAGGTTCTGTGGCTGATTAAGGTGGTAATTAAACTTGCTTGATGCCTTATCTGCAATAAACTAGCCTCAAAACCTGTGTAATTAATGTGTTTGGGTTTTAAGGGATGAGGTGTCAACCCTAGTGACAGGTGCAGCAGCTGGGCAGGGAGTTCAAAGAAGCTGAGCCTGTGATTTCACCAGGTTCAACCTTACTTAACAGCATTGAGATTGTAGTATCCAACCAGCTCAACTGATGGTAGGAATGCTTAAGGGGGTGTGGGGTGTTAGAGTTCCTCTTTAGGTGTTAAAGTACATAATATTTAATTATTAATTTTCCTGCATGTCATGACATTTTTACGCTTCTTATGCTTTTGTTTTCCCCATAATGACTTACAGGAAAAAAAATTAAACAAAATGAATGAAACAGTAAAACTGGGCAGTCTGCCCCTCCATTATGTGCCTTTCTGGGTTTTTGCCTATGGTGCCTTTTAGGAAACACTGACCTTTTTATTGCCTTAAACTACTACATCTACAGATCAGCCTGTAACTGATCCCACGAATAAAAGCAGATTTTGCTACAAGTTATTTCTGGCTACAATCAGAAATTGTGGGGTTGTGGGGTTGATTTAGAAAATGCAAATAGACTTTTCATTTTGCAAGGAAATTTTCCCCAAAGCTTAGTGAATGAGGTGAAGCTCTGCTGATTTCCATCTTCCAATCACGTGCCAGCAAAATTGTTTGTTTTTTATTTTTTACTTGCACATGATTGGGTATCATTTGCAAAGTAAAGCTTTACATAGCTCTGGGGAAAATTCCCTTGCAGAGTGAAATTTCACTTACAAAGTGAACAGTGTATTTGCCTTTAGTAAATCAAACACTAATAAGTTTGATGCTTCATTACTAAACCAAAATATACTGTTCACTTTCCAGGGGAATTATAAACCAAGTTTAGTGAAGGAGGTAAATCCCTGTTGACTTCCATCATCTAATCATGTGTAGGCAACGCTACTGTTTTTATTTTCCTTGCAGGTCATTGGGCATTCTTTGCAAAGTGAAATTTCACCCCAATCACTAAGCCCTGGTGATAATTTGATTTCACAGTACATCTTTCTTGCAAAATGAACAGCCTATTTGCCTTTAGTAAATCAACCTCTTGGTGTGATGGACCATGAGGCATCCTAAATAAACAGCAGTGCTAAATGTAAAGTCTTATATGCAGTTAAAAAAAGAATTTACACACACAGACTATCATTTACCTCTGCTTTGATCTTGTCATATAAAGCCTGTGTGTGTGCTAGAGCATCATTTGCTGATTTGAACTGCAGCTCCAGTTTCTTAATGTTTCTTAAATCCCTTTCTTTTTCTCTTTGTTTGCTGGTAAGTGCATCATGTTGGTTCTGCTTCTCTATCAAAGCATGACGTAAATTGAGTTCCAGGGCTGCTCTGAAATGCAAACATTTGAAAAATGAACAAGATGTATACAAAAATACCCCCAGTAACCTCAGAGACTTACACGTTATGGATCTCGGAGCTATAATTTGAAAGACTCTAATAAGCACTACTGGCATCTACACTGTTTGTAAATTTAACGTTCATGCTATTAAAAGAGAAGTGCAGGATTTAAAAAAAAAAACAACCATACTCACCTATGTGGCTGCAGCATCGATCTGTTGCTGCATCTTTCCCCTGCCGACTCTAAGAACTGAGTGATCACGTGACCGCTGATCACTCAGTTCCTGGTTTTCACAGACCAGGGAGCAGTGACTGTCGCTCACTCTCTCTGTGCTCTGCTCCTCCAAGGCTCACTGGAGTGCCAGACTGTGGAGGGGGCAGGAGTCAGCTGCCAGTCAGGCATCTTGGTGGATCCCGACATTATTGCAATCAGAGCCTTGGACCGGTAATGTGAAGTCAGTCAACAATAGCTTGCTTTCAGCTGAATCTGGGTCACAGGACTGCAGAACAAAGTCCACTCGTGTGACCCACATGAGAGATATGGCCAAAAAAGCTTTGGCCATACTCCTCCTTCAAGGCTGGTTCACACCACAGAAATGCAGTCCGGATGCGTTTCTGTATGCGCATTTTTGATGTGTTCTGGTTTCTGTTTAATTTTTTACCCCTAATTTCTTCTTCAACTTTAGGATATGTGCCTTCTAGTGCATTTTTTTGTGTGTTTTTCCGATGCGTTTACTGCGTTCAGTACAGTTCAGTGCAAAAAAAAATGCAGCATGTTCTACTTTTTTTTTCTGGAACGCACTGGAACTGACTGTATTGGTGTGAACTATTCCATTAGAAACCGTGTAACCTACTATCAACGCGTTTTTGATGCAGAAAAAAAGCACACTGGACTGCATGTGGTGTGAAAGGGCTCTTAAAGAAAATAAGCCCATTCCTAAAAAGAAAAAATGTTACTGTACACAGATGCACGCAAATAGGTCTGCATGTGGACATACTTCCTCCTCACCATGTTGAGGACTACTGCATATTGGGGGATAAACCCTCTGCTTCTATGAGCTAACCTATTCTGCTATATCTAGGCTGTACTGTAGAAAAAAAAAATAGAGAAAATTTCTCATGTTCTGCATTGCATAATATTAAATGCGTGTTCATTTTTAACACATTTAAAAAAGTCTCCATACTACACAGGACATGTGTAGCACATACAGTCCTTCTTCCCCTCTGCCGCAATAACCCTATTATCTCCTGATAAGGCACATCATGTGGAGACATTCTGAACATGCTCAGTTTGGTGTATATTGCTAGAGAGGATTTTTTTTTCTTGGGAGAGTGCATGTGATCAGCACAGGGCCAATCAGCACTGTCCAGACACAGGTCAGGGGTCCTGCATCCTCCTAGAGCAGAAAGAAAACTCCTCCTACAAGCTTTAACTAGTGCTCTGCTGAACACTGATAGAAGTCACAAGATGCTCTAACTGCTGATGAGAAAAGGTATTTAGCAGTTTATATTTACTAAAATAATTGCATTTCCATGTAGAGTGTACTGTGGGAGACCAAATAGAGTTACTGCAGGTTTAGTAACACTTTAAGTAATGACAAAGTAATTTCTCCATAAACCGGTTCATAGCAGAAATGCAACTGCTCTGGTCCATGGGGGGGGGGGGGGAGAACAGGGGTGAGAGGGGAAGTGCCTATGGAAAGCCATTACAAGCGGTAATTGATTCTATATTTGATTTCAGCAGCTCCTGTTTTTCAAACAACATCCAGCCATTCCTGCTGGAGCTGAGTTCATTTTTACTGCAAATTTCCATTGTGACATAAGAGAGGTTTTTCATACTGTTCTTTCTGGCACTGGAATACCAGAGTGTGGACTTTTCGGTAGGGACTCTGGACATGTGTTCGAAATCTATTACAAGTCCTTCCAATACCTGCTGCTTCATTTTATGACATTCCAAAAGCACTATCTTTACTAGTTCAAAAATACAAAAGGGAAAAAGGCAATGAATGGAAAGTAACCTTTCTCCCAGAGCAGCAGCTTCGTTTTCCTTGGAATACTCCAGTAACTTGGTGAGATGATTAAACTCTTGCTCCTTGCTTTCCAGCAGAGTTTTCTTCCCCTCTAGTTCCTTTGCGACTTCTTCCTTCTCTTCCAGCAGCTTTTTGGTTTTATTCTCTATCTGCTTCAAGCTGTTGTTTAATGCCTGGCATTCCTCCTCCAGTTTCAGCTTTTTTTTCTCCGCTTCCCTGGAATGTATACATACAGAATAAGATTCATTGCCGTGCCTAAAGTAATTCCAAGACAAAACATTTTCCTGTACATAGCAACGGAACACTTGGGGATATCTGTGCACTTCCTGACCTTAAGTATTCCCGACCAGATGCTGTATAATGTGTAAGACTCAGCTATACATTGACACTAATATGAAGGAAACACAGCCTGCCTCCTATAGAAAGGTTACTAAATGTTATAGCAGCATTAAGCCCCCCCCCCCCCCCCATATAAATAAATAAATAAAACAAATAAACTATGGTGGCTGGAAAAGTTTTCCTTATTTTCTTTTCTTGTGTAATTTTTACCTGTTGGCACAATGGATACACTCTTGGACATCAGCATTGTTATGGGGAGAGGGTAGTACTAGATGCAGTAGCAAATTTAGATGGATTTGACTGACAACTTGAAGTGTTACTAAACCCACAACAGTAAAACGGTCTGTAAATGCATGATCCTTCCCTTCTTTTACTGTCCCCAATCCATCCGCTGAAAGTACAGAGCCCTAGGAGGCACTGTGCACATGCTCAGTTTGGTGTGATTTTTTTTTTTTTTGGGGGGGGGGGGGGGGGATGTGATTGGCACAGGGCCAATCAGTGCTGCCCAGACAGAGGATCAGGGGTCATGCAGCCTCATAGGACAGTCAGAGGAGAATGAAAACTCCTACAAGCTTTAACCAGTGCTTGGCTGGACACTGATAAAAGTCACAAGACTGCTGTATACTGCTAATGATAAAAGGTCTTTGTCAGTTTATATTTACTAAAATAATTGCATTTCCATGTTCTGTGTACTGTGGGAAACCAGATATAGTGAATGCAGGGACCTGGGTTTAGTAACACTTTAAAGTCAACGCCAGCTAATGCTTTTTAAGCGTTTTTGCTTTTTATTTCAGGATAAAGTGTTTGCATAAAATAATAAATGCTAATCATTGTAGGCACCCCTGTCAGTGGTAAATGGTTTGTCTTAACCCTCTAATTGCCACTTTTGGACAGTCTGGTCTGCTAAAGGAAGTTGAAAAATAAACTTTTTGGCAGGATCAACAGGTGAAAATAAAAGGAAGAAAGGAAACTAACACAGCCTCAACATTTAGGAATTGGTAAGCAGCTTTGTTTTTTTAGGTTTAATTAGGTACTCTAATTCATCGTAGGTGCAGCTTTACCACACTACACTGGGCTTCCAGTGCTATGTATTATTGTATAAAATATTTTGTAAATTGATTTATCACCTGTATGTGGATTAGAACATTTTAATAAGCATAGGGAACCTTCTAAAAATGGCACTGAGCCGTAGAATTCAGAGGCTGGCTTAGCTGAAGAATCTGAATTCAGGGTGCCTTTGTATCACCATGTTTTTTACTAAGAACTAGAGGTATTTTCCCACCAGATTCAAACTTTAAAGGCAGGTCTGATAAGGAGTGGTGGCTGAGGAGGTGCAGCTACAGTACAGTCACTTTCTTAGTACAGAATGATACATAAGGCCCTGGGTGCCAGCGTCTGCTCATGCTGTTCTAAAGTAATCTCGTAAGAAATATTGTCACACCTCCACTCTATTTCTGCACTGCATCTACCATTTTTGTTAATAAATATTGCCTCTGCATTTACCTAGGGACTAATTTCCACAGACCGCAATGATTTCTGTACCTTTAGCTGTAGAATTACAGTCCCCCAAACTGCTGGAAAGAAGGCTATCGCTAAATTCCCTTCTTATATCGCACATGTTTAGAGCATTCTTTACATACATAAGCCAAATTTAAAACAGGTCTGGGAAAGTTATCTGTAATTTCCTCTCCCTATATACAATGCCTTCCTTTAAAGGTTGGCTGCACATCTTTCTCTTTTAACCCTGTACAAGTATATATACATACACTGTTTTTTGCGATTTATCTTCTCCATGTCTTTGGTAAGCTGTACAGGGATTTGTTGGATTTGCACAAGTTCATCCTGGAAAAAAAATAACATATGAGCATAAGAGAAAATTAAATATTTAGCTTTTACTTGGAGGACCTTGCATTAAAATGCATGGTCAAGTTAAACTATCCTGGCCCTCTCTTTCGTAACAACACATGTACTATTAGCAGGTGTAGAATATACCTGTAAAGAAAAGAGTTTAAGGTTTGTAATTCCCTCACCCCATCCTCTGCCCACAGCCACGAGGCAAGGATGATGTTACTAGAGATGAGCGAATTATTCAAAAATTCGGTTCGGCTGATTCGCCGAATTCGCCGATTAAATTCGCTTCGTGCCGAATATATTCGCTGCGAAGATGAGTGCCGTCGATCTTAGAATCACCGCACACTTCACTCATTTGGGCAGTCACGGGGCCAAAACCAGAGTGTGGAGCCACAGTGTGGCGTGGAGGGCAGCAAGCAATGGGAGACCATACAGCACCCTAATGACAAAATGGAACCCACCCAGCAGTGGTGAGAGACCTGAAGTGGCACATGGCAGAGTGTGGCGATGAGACAGCAGCAATGGACCGTACAGGGACCCATACAACACTCTGGGACCTGGCACAGCCTGAGGAGGCGGTACAGGGCCCATGACAGATTACGGGGCCTGGCAGCACATGAG